ACACAGGAGGCTGAGGAAGGAGAATTGCCTGAACCCAGAAGGCGGAGGTTGCAGTGAGCCAAGATCGTGCCATTGCACTCCAGCCTGGGTAACAAGAGCGAAACTCCGTCTCAAAAAAAAAAAAAAAAAAAAAATACAAAAAACTAGCTGGGCATGGTGGCGCGTGCCTGTAATCCCAGCTACTCAGGAGGCTGAGGCAGGAGAATTGCCTGAACCCAGGAGGCGGAGGTTGCGATGAGCCGAGATCGCGCCATTGCACTCCAGCCTGGGTAACAAGAGCGAAACTCCGTCTCAAAAAAAAAATTACCTGGCTATAATGGTGGGCACCTGTAATCCCAGTTGCTCTGGAGGCTGCGGCAGGAGACTCACTTGAATCCAGGAGGTGGAGGTTGCCATGAGCCGAGATCACACCACTGGCACTCCAGCCTGGGCAACAGAGCAAGAGTCCATTTCAAAAACAAAAACAAAAACAGAACCCCAGCAGTCGTAATTATTATTATTATTTCAAACCAACTTTATCTTGACCCTCTGGGGCCTTATGTATTAATCATAGCAATTATTATTTATTGAACACTTAGTAAGAGTCAGACCTAGCACATTCGGGCACACCTTGTTATATTGCACTTTGATTTATTGTGCTTCACAGAAAACTGTGTATTTTATAAATTGCAGGTTTGCAGTGACTTTGTGTTGAGCAAGTCTGTCAGTGGCGTCTTTCCAACAGCACGTGCTCACGGCGTACCTCTGTGTCACGGCTCGGTAATTCTTGCAATATTTCAAATGTTTTCATTATTACTGTATCTGCTGTGGTGATCTGTGATCACCGGTCCCTGATGTTGCTATTACAGTTGTTTCGGGCATCATACACTGTGCTCATGTAAGATGGTGAATTAAAAAAAAAAAAAGATGGTGAATTGAATCAATAAATGTGTGTGTTCTAACTGCCTCACTGACCAGCTTGCCTCCATCCCCTGCCCTCTTGCCCTCTTGGATCTCCCTATTTCCTGAGACAGAACAATATTGAGATTAGGCTAATTAATAACCTTACAGTGGCCTTTAAGTGTGAAAGTGAAAGGAAGGTCCTAGGTAGCTCGCTTAAAATCAAAAGCTGGAAGTGATTAAACATAGTGAGGAAGATATGTTGAAAACTGAAATAGAACAAAAGCAAAGCCTGTTAGCCAAGTTGTGAACACAAAGGAAACATTCTTTTTTTTTTTTTTCTTGAGATGGAGTCTCATTCTCTTGCCCAGGCTGGAGTGCAATGGCGAGACCTTGACTCACTGGAACCTCTGCTCTTGGGTTCCAGGGATTCTCCTGCCTAAGCCTCTCGAGTTGCTGGGATTACAGGTGTGCACCAACACACTTGGAGAATTTTTGTATTGGACGGGTTGGTCTTGAACTCCTGACCTCAGATGATCTGCCCACCTTGGCCTCCCAAAGTGTTGGAATTACAGGTGTGAGCCACTGCACCTGGCAGGAAAAGTTCTTTTTATTTTATTTTTATTTTTTGAGATGGAGTCTCACTCTGTCACCCATGCTGAAGTGCAGTGGTGCGATCTCAGCTCACTGCAACCTCCACCTCCTGTGTTGAAGCAATTCTCCTGCCTCAGCCTCCCGAGTAGCTGGGACTACAGGCACCTGCCACTGCGTCTAGCTAAATTTTTTGTAATTTTTAGTAGAGATGGGGTTTCACCATCTTTCCCAAGCTGGTCTTGAACTCCTGACCTCAGCCTCCCAAACTGCTGGGATTATAGGAGTGAGCCACTATGCCCGGCCAGGAAAAGTTCTTGAAGGAAATTAAAAGTGCTACTCCAGTGAACACATGAATGAAGAGAAAGCAAATAGCCTTATTGCCATTATAGAGAAAGTTTGAGTGGTCTGGATAGAAGATCAAACCAGCCATGATATTCCCTTAAGCCAAAGCCTAATGCAGAGCAAGGCCCTAACTCTCCTGAATTCTGTGAAGGTTAAGCGGGGTGAGGAAGCGGTAGAAGAAAAGCTGTAGCCAGGTATGATGGCTCATGCCTATAATCCCAACACTATGGGAGGCCGAGGTGAGCCCAGCCAATTTTTTTGTATTTTTAACAAAGACCATGTTGACCAGGCTGGTCTTGAACTCCTGACCTGAGGTAATCCACCTGCCTTGGCTTCCCAAAGTACTGGGATTACAGATGTGAGCTATCACCCCTGTCCAATTTTGACTTTCAAGTCTTATTATTTGAGAAATCCATTTTGGGCTGGGCACAGTGGCTCACGTCATTAATCCCAGCACTTTGGGAGGCCAAGGTGGGTGGATCACTTGAGGTCAGGAGTTCGAGACCAGCCTGGCCAGCAGAGACTGAAACACTGTCTCTACTAAAAATACAAAACAATTAGCCAGGCGTGGTGGCATATGCCTGTAATCTCAGCTACTTGGGAGGCTGAAGTAGGAGAATTGCTTGAACCTGGGAGGCAGAGGTTACAGTGAGTTGAGATCACACCACTGCACTCCAGCCTGGGCAACAAGAGCGAGACTCTGTCTCAAAAAACAAAACAAAACAAAACAAAACAAAAAAAGAAAGAAAGAAAAGAAAAAAATGTATTTTGGCCAGGTGCAGTGGCTCACACCTGTAATCCTAACATTTTGGGAGGCTGAGATGGGTGGATCACCTGAGGTCAGGATTTCAAAATCAGCATAGCCAACATGGTGAAATCTAAAATACAAAAATTAGCTGGGCATGGTGGTGGGAGCCTATAATCTCAGCTTACTTAGTAAGCTGAGGCAGGAGAATCACTTGGACCTGGCGGGTAAAGGTTGCGTGGGCTGAGATGACGCCACTTCTATCCAGCCTGGGCGAAAGAGCAAAACTCTGTCTGAAAAAAAAAAAATACATTTTGTAAGGCTATGGCTACCATAGCTAGTGATTCCTCTGATGGATTTGGGCGAAGCCATTGAAAACTTCTGAAAAGGATTCACCATTCTGGATGCCATTAAAAACATTTGTTATTTGGCCAGGCATGGTGGCTCACACCTGTAATCCTAGCACTTTGGGAGGCCAAGTCAGGCAGATCGTGAGGTCAGAAGTTCAAGACCAGCCAGGCCAATATAATAAACTCAGTTTCTACTAAAAATACAAAAACAAAAACAAGGCCAGGCACGGTGGCTCATGCCTGTAATCCCAGCACTTTGGGAGGCTGAGGCAGGTGGATCACAAGGTCAAGAGATTGAGACCATCCTGGTCAACATGATGAAACCCCGTCTCTACTAAAAATACAAAAAACTAGCTGGGCATGGTGGCGCGTGCCTGTAATCCCAGCTACTCAGGAGGCTGAGGCAGGAGAATTGCCTGAACCCAGGAGGCGGAGGTTGCGGTGAGCCGAGATCGCGCCATTGCACTCCAGCCTGGATAAGAAGAGTGAAACTCCGTCTCAAAAAAAAAAAAAAAAAAAAAAAGAAATTGCTACAGCCATCTGAACCTTCAGGAACCACCACCCTGATCAGTCAGCAGCCACCAACATCGAGGCAAGACCCTTCGCTAACAAAAATTTAATGACTTACTGAAAACTCAGATGATCATTAATATTTTTAAGCAACAAAGCATTTTTAACTTAAGGTACATACATTGTTTTTATAGACATAATGTTATGGCACACTTAAGAGACTACAGAGGCTGGGCACAGTGGCTTACGCCTCTTATCTCAGCACTTTGAAAGGCCGAGGCAGGTGGATCATTTGAGGTCAGGAGTTTGAGACCAGCCTGACCAACACGGTGAAATCCCATCTCTACTAAAATGCAAAAAAGTTTAGCTGGGATTGATGGCGCATGCTTGTAATCCCAGCTATGTAGGAGGCTGAGGCAGGAGAATCACTTGATACCAGCAGGTAGAGTTTGCAGTGAGCTGAGATAGCACCACTGCACTCCAGCCTGGGTGACAGAGCAAGACTCCCTCTCAAAAAAAAAAAAAAAAAATACATAAATAAAAATAAAAAATAAAATAAATAGTAAGAGACTACAGAATAGTGTAAACATAACTTTTTTTTCTTAAGGCTAGGTCTAACTAAAAGAGGCCAAAATGCAGTGGCATGATCATAGTTCACTGTAACCTTGAACACCTGAGCTCAAGTGATCCACCTGAGTAGCTGGGATTTTAGGTGTGTACCACCACATCCGGCTAGCTTTTTTATTTTTAATTTTTTGAAGGAGAGTCTTGCTGTGTTTCCCAGGCTGGTCTCAAACTCCTGGCCTCAAGCTATCCTCCTGTGCTTGCCTCCTAAGCGCTGGGCATGGGCCACTGTGCCAAGCCTAAACATAACTTTTATTGTTATTATTATTTTTTGAGACGGAGTTTCGCTCTTGTTACCCAGGCTGGAGTGCAATGGCGTGATCTTGGCTCACTGCAACCTCCGCCTCCTGGGTTCAGGCAATTCTCCTGCCTCAGCCTCCCGAGTAGCTGGGATTACAGGCACGCGCCACCATGCCCAGCTAATTTTTAGTATTTTTAGTAGAGATGGGGTTTCACCTTGTTGACCAGGATGGTCTCGATCTCTTGACCTCGTGATCCACCCGCCTCGGCTTCCCAAAGTGCTGAGATTACAGGCGTGAGCCACGGCGCCCGGGCTCCTCAGTGCGTTTCTAACTCTGTCACTGGCGCATAGAGGTGCTTGGTACACGTTTGTTGAATGAATGAATGAATGAGCGAGCATGCCATTTCTCCTTGTGTATCTTATGAACCCGCCAAGCCCGGGCCCGATGTCGTAGCCTGTACCCCTGGCCCGAGTCTCCAGCACCCTGCGTGTCTGCTGACCACAGCACGAACGCGGGGGCACCCCCGTCCCCAAGCCAAGCCCCGCCCCCTTCCCCGCCGGGGTCCGGGCAGACCCTTTCCCCACCCCGGGGCCGCTCAGCCTCCAGGGCAGCCGGCGGCCCCGCCCACGGCCAGGATTGGAGGATGGGGGCACCGCCCACCCCTCCGGGCGGCCTCCTATTGGCGCGGCCGCCGGCAGGGGCGGGGACAGGGTTGGGCGGCAGCTGACGCCACCCGGGCCCGAAAAGCCCAGCCCCGGTGGCGGGCGCGACACTGACCGCGGGGCCAGGCCGAGGTGAGTGCGCGGCGGCCGGGCGGGCGCGGAGGGCGCGGGGAACCGCGGCGTCCGCAGGCTGCGCCCCGCCGAGGGCCGTGCCGGGAGCTCGGGGCCGGCCCGGCGCGGGGGACCCTGCCGGCACTGGAGGTCGTCAGCCGCGTCTTGTCTTCCAGACCCGAAGGACCGAGGCTTCCGGACGACCAGGAACCGCCCAACATGGCCTCGGAGGTGAGTGGGACCTCCGGGCTCCGCAGGGGAGGGTGCGGGCGCCAGACCCGCTCGGCCACCCCGCCGGGAGTCGCGCCCCCCGCCCTCCCGGGCGCACCTGCTGGAGCTCAGCCGCCGCCAGCCACGCCTCAGGGGCGCAGTGGGTCTGCCCGGTGGGGAAAGCGCCCCAGCCACGCCTCCAGGGGCGCAGTGGGTCTGCCCGGTGGGAAAAGCGCCCCAGCCACGCCTCAGGGGCGCAGTGGGTCTGCCCGGTGGGGAAAGCGCCCCAGCCATGCCTCCAGGGGCGCAGTGGGTCTGCCCGGTGGGGAAAGCGCCCCAGTCACGCCTCAGGGGCGCAGTGGGTCTGCCCGGTGGGAAAAGCGCCCCAGCCACGCCTCCAGGGGCGCAGTGGGTCTGCCCGGTGGGGAAAAGCGCCCCAGCCATGCCTCCAGGGGCGCAGTGGGTCTGCCCGGTGGGAAAGCGCCCCAGTCCACGCCTCAGGGGCGCAGTGGGTCTGCCCGGTGGGAAAAGCGCCCCAGCCACGCCTCAGGGGCGCAGTGGGTCTGCCCGGTGGGAAAAGCGCCCCAGCCACGCCTCAGGGGCGCAGTGGGTCTGCCCGGTGGGAAAAGCGCCCCAGCCACGCCTCAGGGGCGCAGTGGGTCGGCCCGGTGGGAAAAGCGCCCCAGCCACGCCTCCAGGGGCGCAGTGGGTCTGCCCGGTGGGAAAAGCGCCCCAGCCATGCCTCCAGGGGCGCAGTGGGTCTGCCCGGTGGGAAAAGCGCCCCAGCCACGCCTCAGGGGCGCAGTGGGTCTGCCCGGTGGGAAAAGCGCCCCAGCCACGCCTCAGGGGCGCAGTGGGTCTGCCCGGTGGGAAAAGCGCCCCAGCCACGCCTCAGGGGCGCAGTGGGTCTGCCCGGTGGGAAAAGCGCCCCAGCCACGCCTCAGGGGCGCAGTGGGTCTGCCCGGTGGGAAAAGCGCCCCAGCCACGCCTCCAGGGGCGCAGTGGGTCTGCCCGGTGGGAAAGCGCCCCAGCCACTGCCTCCAGGGGCGCAGTGGGTCTGCGCGCACCCACAGGAGCGCCTGCCGGTGGGATAAGCGCCCCCAGCCTTCAGCCCCCACCTCCGCACTCCTTTCCTCGCGTCCTCCCGTCAGGGCCCCCGCCACACGCACCCCTTCTCCTGCTACCGCACCTGTCCCTGTTTATAGAAGAAAAATCAGCCCCTCAAGTACTTTTGTCCTTGACCCTGGCATGTGGAAAGAGCCAGGGGGCAGGGGACCTCGCCCCGGGGCTCCAGCAGCCCTTCCTGACCCCCGGCTTCTCTTCCTGACCACTGAGATGACCGAGTTCCAGGCACAGGGTTCCTGCCTTGGGCCTCAGTTGATTTGTCTGGCAATGGGGTGGTCACAGCTGTCGGCCTCCCTCTGTAAGGCCATTGCTTTGGACCCTTCAAGTGAATGGGGCTGTTGGCCTGATGCCTGATGAAGGGAACCCTGCGAGCATGAGGTCTGGGTTCCAGCCCCTTCTGGCCCTCACTAGGTAGAAATTCACTTCTTCTCTCTCAGTGCCCTGCAAGTTTCTGGATCATGGGGGAGGAAACGGGGAGGGCCCGGACTTTGGAGCTAAATAGACTTGGGTTTCTGTACCCGTCACTCCAGCCCTCTGAGCCTCTTTCTTCATTTGTGAAATAGGGGTAACACTGCCCACCTCATAAAAGGGCGTAATAACATATGTCCAGTCCCTAGCCCAGGGCCAAGCAACAGGAGGTGCTCAATAAACAGTGGCTAGCCACACAGTACCGCTATTTCTACTTTGGGAGGGTGAGGCTGGAGGACTGCTGGAGCCCAGGAATTCTAGACCAGCCTGGGCAACATAGTGAGACGCCGTCTCTACAAAAAATTTTTGAAAATTACCCCTGTGTGCTGGCATACACCTGTAATCTCATGGGAAGCAGAGGCAGGAGGATCCCTTAAGCCCAGGAATTTGAGGCTGCAGTGAGTATGATCTCACCACTGCACTCCAGCCCAGGCAACACTGAGATCCAGTCTCAAAATACAAAAAAACCCACCAGGTGTGGTGCCTCACGCCTGTAATTCCAGAACTTTGGGAGGCCGAGGCAGGGAGATCACCTGAGGTCAGGAGTTCAAGACCAGCCTGGCCAACATGGTGAAACCCCATCTCTACTAAAAATACAAAAATTAGCCATGCGTGGTGGCAGGCACCTGTAGTCCCAGCTATTTGGGAGCCTGGGTTAGAAGAATCACTTGAACCCAGGAGGTGGAGGTTGCAGTGAGCCAAGATTGCACCACTGCACTCCAGCCTGGGTGACAGAGTGAGACCCCATCTAAAAAAAAAAAAAAAAAAAAAAAAACACAAACAAACAGCTACTAGGGAGGCTGAGGCAGGAGAATTGCTAGAACCAGGGAAGCGGAGGTTGCAGTGAACCAAGATCATGCCACTGCACTCCAGCCTGGGCAACAAGAGCAAAACTCCTTCTCAAAAAAAAAAAAAACAAACCACACTCACAAAAAACCACAAACCCCCAAAACTGATATTTCCCACGTGCATTCGACCTTGACTGTTGCTCATTCAACCCAGCCCAACTCAGTTCGCCATCCCCTGGCCCCGAAGAGACCATTCTGGCCTAGATGTGTCCTGGCTTGGAGTAGCACCTTCTGTTACCACACTGGGCCTCCCCTCTCCTCAGTGCCCAAGGGGAGACCCCACTCTGATCTCCCCGTGGGGTCCTATTCTGCCTGCCAGTAAGGGAAGGAGCCTGGTCCTGGTCCTAGAGCAGAGTGGTTTGCCCTCCGACCAGCACAGCACTCCCGGTGACCTCAGCTTGCCCCAGGCCCTCCTGTAGGTTGGCACTAATTGGTTTGGCTGTGGCCCCGCTTATTAAGTAGTAGTTATTTTTATTAACATCCCAGGCCGGGTGGCCCAAGAACCCCCTGGGGGAGGTGGTGCCAGGCTCCTGGCTGAGGGGCAGGCTGGCTCCAGTTATGACTGGCTGGTCCCAGTGATCAGGACCAGGGCCCCATGTGGCACGTTGCTAGAGATCTAGGCTTGGTGGGGCAGCCGTGGGGTAAGAAGCAGGACCAGCTCAAAAGACCAGTGGGGGCGGAGGCTGCCTCTGCAGGGCAGAGTCCTTTGGCAGCCAGAGCTGTTGGGCATGGAAAGGTCAGCTCACAGCTCAGGACCAGAGCACTGTAGAGGTCTCTGGGGTGCACAACAGAATCAGGAGCGGAGCTGAAGCACTCCTATCCCCTGCCAGCTCTCCCCTAGTAACAGCTGACATTTCCCGAGTCCTTCCTGAGCACCAGGCATCGTGTTATGGATGCAGTTTGCAAGTGTTATCTGATTGAATGCTCACAACAAGGCTATCAGATAGGTACTATTATCCTTAACTTCTTATTTTTGAGAAAGAGTCTTCCTCTGTCACCCAGGCTGCAGTCAATGGCATCATCTCTGCTCACTGCAAACTCTGCCTCCAGGATTAAGTGATTCTCCTGCTTCAGACTCCCAAGTAGCTGAGACTACAGCTGCCTGCCACCGCACCTGGTTAATTTTTGTATTTTTAGTACAGACGGGGTTTCACCACGTTGGCCAAGCTGGTCTCGAACTCCTGACCTCAAGTGATCCACCCGCCTGGGCCTCCCAACCCTGAGGTTTAACAATAGGCCCCGGGCCAGGTGATTAACAGAGGTCTGGCGCATTGCAGGGGGACAGAGGAAAACATATGTCCCCATTGGCCACCGCAGACTCCCTTCCTCCCAAAGGATGCCAGTGCAGTGACATGCCCACCTCTACCCCCCTCCCTCCCAGTCCTTGGCACTCCCGGCACTAGGTCTGCTCCCCAGGTGTTCTATACCCTCCCCAATCTGTCCCATGCCCTGGCCTCTGCCCTTTTTCAAAACATAGATGTGGCCGGCACCTTGGCTGGTGCCTGTAATCCCAGCACTTCGGGAAGCTGAGGCTGGAGGATTGCTTGAGCCCAGGAGTTCAAGACTAGCCTGGGCAACATAGTGAGAAGCTGACTCTACAAAATTTAAAAAAAAATTTTAATCTGGGTGTGGTGGTGCATGCCTCTAGTCCCAACTACTGGGGAAGCTGAGGAGGGAGGATTGGTTGAGCCCAGGAGTTTGAGGCTGCAGTGAGCTATGATGGCACCCCTGCACTCCAGCCTGTGAGACCCTGTCTCTAAAAAAGAATTTTAAAAAAATGTTTAAAGAACAAAACTGGCCAGGCATGGTGGCTCATGCCTGTAATCCCAGCACATTGGGAGGTCAAGGCAGGTGGATCACCTGAGGTCGGGAGTTCAAGTCCAGCCTGGCCAACATGGTGAAACCCCGTCTCCACCAGGAGAATCGGCTTGAACCCAGAAGTGGAGGTTGCAGTGAGCCGAGATTGCGCCACTGCACTCCAGCCTGGGCAACAGAGCAAGACTCCATCTCTTTTTTTTTTTTTTTTGAGACGGAGTTTCGCTCTTGTTACCCAGGTTGGAGTGCAATGGCGCGATCTCAGCTCACCGCAACCTCCGCCTCCTGGGTTCAGGCAATTCTCCTGCCTCAGCCTCCTGAGTAGCTGGGATTACAGGCACGCGCCACCATGTCCAGCTAATTTTTTGTATTTTTAATAGAGACGAGGTTTCACCATGTTGACCAGGATGGTCTCGATCTCTTGACCTCGTGATCCACCCGCCTCGGCCTCCCAAAGTGCTGGGATTACAGGCTTGAGCCACCGCGCCCGACCAAGACTCCATCTCAAAAAAAAAAAAAAAAGAACAAAACGTAGATGTCTACATATCATCTCTCTGCCCTTCAATCCTGGGAAATAAGGGGTCACCCAGTGACCTCCTAGAAGGGAGTGACAATGGGGGGTGTCAGGGTGCTCTTCAGAGCCAAGGGAGTGGTAGGAATTGGGATCTTAGTCCGGCTCCAAGCTGTGAGGGAGAGTTGCAAGGTATCATGCTTGGTGGAGACCAGAGCCAATCCCAGAGGCCCCGGTGGAACAGGGGTGAAGAGTATGGGTTCTGACTTCAGACTCTGGGCTGCAGCCCTGGCTCACCCACCCTGAGTGAGGGCAGGCTGCAGGCCTCTCTGTGCCTCAGTTTCCCCCTCTCCATAGTGGAATCGTATTGGTGTCTACCCCAGAGAATTGTGTCAGCAATTAGGATGGCACCTGGCACCTTGGCCAGTCACAGGAAAGGTTCCAGAAGCTCTGCTGTGGTCCCAGGGGTGCCTCGGGCCCTGCCACCATCTCCTTGGAGTGGTGTCATGTTGTGGGAAAGAAACCCCAACTTCAAGGCCAGACGCAGTGGCCCATGCATGTAACCCCAGCACTCTGGGAAGTGAGATAGGAGAATCACCTGAGGATCACCAGCCAGGCCAACATAGTGAAACCCCGTCTCTACTAATAATACAAAAATCATCTGGGTGTGGTGGTGGGCGCCTGCAGTCCTAGCTACTCAGGAGGCTGAGGCAGGAAAATCTCTTGAACCCAGGAGGCAGAGGTTGCAGTGAGCCAGAGTCAAGCCAGTGCATTCCAGCCTGGCCGACAGAGCAAGACTCTGTCTCAAAAAAAAAAAAAAAAAACCCAAACTTCAGTGTCCAACCACATTCCCACACTCACTCCCAGGGTGACTCCGGGAAGGTCTCAGCCTTCTTGTCTGCCCAGTTAGAATGATCTGATGCCCCTGCGACCATCAGGCTTGATAAGTTTCCTGAGGACTCTTTGCAAGAGGTACTGTTCTGGAGGGTGGAGAAGAGACTCATTGTTCCTACTTTCCTGGCCAGAGCGGGAAGCTGTGGGGTGGCCGGTTTGTGGGTGCAGTGGACCCCATCATGGAGAAGTTCAACGCATCCATCACCTACGACCGGCAGCTGTGGGAGGTGGATGTTCAAGGCAGTAAAGCCTACAGCAAGGGCCTGGAGAAGGCAGGGCTCCTCACCAAGGCCGAGATGGACCAGATACTCCATGGCCTAGACAAGGTACCTCGGCCCAAGCCCCACCCGAGGCCCCTCCCTGTGGCCCCGGCTCCCACCAAATCCCTGAGCAAGTAGTGCAGTGTTGCCGGTCTGTGGTTTCACACTGAACTAATTACGTACGCAAGTGCTGTTTAACTGTGTGCCTTGATGACCGCCCCTCTCCATCCTCTAATGACCGCTGTGGCCCACATGGCTCATGGGTGAAGGTGTGCTGGGCCCGAGATGGCCCCTCCCAGGGTGGGCTTCCAGGACTCAGCTCCTGGACAGGCACAGTCAGTCATGAGGGATCGGGTGGGAGCAGGGCAGGGCCTCTCCTGGCTGCTGATACCTGCTCACCTGACCCCTGGCATTGCTGCTACCTGCTATAGGTGGCTGAGGAGTGGGCCCAGGGCACCTTCAAGCTCAACCCCAATGATGAGGACATCCACACAGCCAACGAGCGCCGCCTGAAGGTACGACCCTTGCAGCCCCACTGATTTCCCGGCCTCCCCACTCTACCAGATCCCGGGCCACTTTGAGCATTAGCACCATCGTTCTGTTTACTTCACCATCGGCAGACAGCAGCAGAGACCTCAGGACATGGGCCAGGCGCAGTGGCTTATGCCTGTAATCCTAGCACTTTGGGAGGCTGAGGTGGGAGGATCGCTTGAGGCCAAGACTTCAAGACCAGCCTGGACAACATAATGAGGTTCTATAACTACGAAAAAAAAAAAAAGAACAAAAGGCCTCAGCAGAAATTTGGGCAGGTCCCAGGATCCTGGGGTAGGGTGGGAGGTTGGCAGGGCTGATGAACCCTGCCCTGCCTGGGTGGACCTCTCTGGGGATATAGACTGTGATCCTGGGCCTCCCTTCACCTCCAGGAGCTCATTGGCGAAACCGCAGGGAAGCTGCACACGGGACGCAGCCGGAATGACCAGGTGCCTCTAGCCCTCCACCGACCCTGCTCCATGCTGTCCCAACCTCAGGGAGCACAGGGGGCAGTCAGAGCTCAGCAGGGTCCTGGCTCCCCAGGGAAGCAACATGCCAGCCCCCCTGAGCACCACCTCCCCCTCGCACAGGTGGTCACGGACCTCAGGCTGTGGATGCGGCAGACCTGCTCCATGCTCTCGGGCCTCCTCTGGGAGCTCATCAGGACCATGGTGGATCGGGCAGAGGCGTGAGTCCCCCAGGGACACCCAGGGGGCAGGGAGAGGTGTGATGGCAGCCTGAACAGCAGACCTAGGTGGCAAGGGTGAACAGGGTGGAGGTGCCAGGCCCTGTGGCACAGGGACACCCTAGAACTCCAGGATCAAGGCAGAGCAGCCAGGAGTGGGGCATTTCCTGCGGGCTCCAATACTCCCATGCCAGTCCAGCTCAGCAGGCAGGGAATACTCACCCTTCGTGGGGCTGGGTGTGGTGGCACGTGACTGTAATCCCAGCACTTTGGGAGGCTGGGGTGGGTGGATCATCTGAGGTCAGGAGTTCAAGACCAGCCTGACCAACATGGTGAAACTCTATCTCTATTATAAATACAAAAATTAGTTGGGTGTTGTGGTGTGCGCCTGTAGTCCCACCTACTCAGCAGGCTGAGGCAGGAGAATTGCTTGAACCCAGGAGACAGGTTGCAATGAGCCAAGATCACACCACTGCATGGCAGCCTGGGCGACAGACTGAGACTCCATCTCAAAAAATAAAATAAAATAAAAAGAAAGAAAACACAGCTATGTACAGTGGTTCATGCCTGTAATTGCAGCACTTTGGGAGGCCAAGGTGGGAGGATCACTTGAGGTCAGGAGTTCAAGACCAGCCTGGCCAACATGGTGAAACCCCATCTCTAAAAAAAATTAAAATAAATAGGCCGGGTGCGGTGGCTCAAGCCTGTAATCCCAGCACTTTGGGAGGCCGAGGCGGGTGGATCACGAGGTCGAGAGATCGAGACCATCCTGGTTAACATGGTGAAACCCCGTCTCTACTAAAAATACAAAATTAGCTGGGCATGGTGGCGCGTGCCTGTAATCCCAGCTACTCAGGAGGCTGAGGCAGGAGAATTGCCTGAACCCAGGAGGCGGAGGTTGCGGTGAGCCGAGATCGCGCCATTGCACTCCAGCCTGGGTAACAAGAGCGAAACTCTGTCTCAAAAAAAAAATAAAACAAAATAAAAATAAATAAAATAAATAAATAAATAAATAAATAAATAAAAAGAAAGAAAGAAAACTCACCCTTTGAGGGTTTGAGGGCAGGAAGCTAAGGCACTAGCTTGGCTGTACCTGGAGCAGCCAGAGTTACCCCCTACCCTGCCTGTTCACCAGTCTTCCATCCCACACTCCAGGTCTCCACCCAGCCCATCTGGCAAAAGACAGAGCCAAAGGCTGCCTCCTGCTGACTCATACCAGGCTTTGGCTTCTGGGACCTGGTGTCTTTGGATCTGGATTTGTTTCTTGCAGACCTGGATGAGGAGCTGCTGAGAATTCTCTATGTGTTGTCAGAGACTCCTCCTTTTCCTCAACTCCCTGTTACCCCTATTTCACACACCTGGAGGGAAGCAGAGGACACGAATTGTCACCCTGGAGATGGAGCTGGATTACTAGCAGGAACAGGGAGTGTCTGCTACTGAGTTCAGGGTTTCTTTTTTTTTTTTTTTTGAGACAGAGTCTTGCTCTGTTTCCCAGGCTGGAGTGCAGGTAGCATGATGTCAGCTCACAACCACTGCCTTTGGGTTCAAGTGATTCTCCTGCCTCTGCCTCCTGAGTAGCTGAGATTACAGGAGCCTGCCACCACGCCCAGCTAATTTTTTGTATTTTTAGTAGAGACAGGGTTTCATCGTGTTGGCCAGGCTGGTCTTGAACCCCTGACCTCAAGTGATCCACCTGCCTTGGCCTCCCAAAGTGCTGGAATTACAGGGATTCAGGGTTTCTTTAATTGTTTTTTTTTTTTTTTTAGACAAGCTCCCACTTTGTCCCCTAGTCTGGAGTGCAGCAGTGCGATCTTGGCTAACAGCAAACTCTGCTTCTTGGGTTCAAGTGATTCTCAGCCTCAGCTTCCCAAGTAGCTGGGATTACAGGTGTGTCCCACCACCACGTCCAGCTAATTTTTGTATTTTTTCCAACAGAGATGGGTTTTGCCATGTTGGCCAGGCTGGTCTCAAACTCCTGAGCTCAGGTGATCTGCCCACGTTGGCCTGCCAAAGTGCTGGGATTACAGGCAGAAGCCAGCCTAATTAAAATTTTTTTTTTAATTTTTAATTTTTCTTTTTCTTTTTTTTTTTTAAAGACAGGGTTTCACCATGTTGGTCAGGCTGGTCTTGAACCCCCGACCTCAGGTGAGCCGCCTGCCTTGGCCTCCAAAGTGCTTGGATTACAGATGTGAGCCACCGCGCCTGGCCAATTTTTTTTTTTTTTTTTTTTAGGACGAAGTCTTGCACTGTTTCCCGGGCTGGAGTGCAGTGGTGCAATCTTGGCTCATTGCAATCTCTGCCTCCTGGGTTCAAGCAATTCTCCTGCCTCAGCCTCCAAGTAATTGGGATTACAGGCATGTGCCACCATGCCCAGCTAATATTTATTTGTATTTTTACTAGAGATGAGGTTTCGCTATGTTGGCCAGATTGATCTCAAACTCCTGACCTTGTGATCTGCCCCCCTCAGCCTCCCAAAGTGCTGGGATTACAGGCATGAGCCACCGCGCCTGGCCTAAATTGTTAACTTTTTAAATTGTCTTTAGATATGAGGTCTTGCTCTGTCACCTAGGATGGAGTGCAGTGGCTTGGTTAATAGCTCACTGCAGACTCAAACTCCTGGACTCAAACAACCCTCCTACCTCAGCTTTCTGAGTACCTAGGACCACAATAGCGAGTTTTAAAAATTTTTTACATAAACGAGGTCTTACTATGTAGCTTAGGCTGGTCTCAAACTACCAGCCTCAAATGATCCTTCCCTCTTGGCCTCCCAAAGTGCTGGGACTATAGGCTTGAGCCACCATGCCTTGCCTTGAGTACAGGATTTTTTTTTTATATAGTGGCTCACATTTGTAATCCCAGCCCTTTGGGAGGCCAAGGCAGGAGGATCACTGGAACTCAGGAGTTTCAGACCACCCAGGGCAACATAGCAAGACCCCATCTTTACAAAAAATTAAAAATTAACTGGGCATGGTGGCATGACTCCGTAGCCGCAGCTACTCAGGAAGCTGAGGCAGGAGGATCATTTGAGCTCAGGAAATCGAGGCAGCAGTGAGCTGTGATCGTGCCATTGCACTCCAGCCTCAGCAACAGAAGGAGACTTGGCTCTAAAAACAAAAACAAAACAAAACAACAAGAAAAGAGGAGCATCTTCTCAAAAAATGGTTTTAAAAAAAATTTTTTTTGGCCGGGCGCGGTGGCTCAAGCCTGTAATCCCAGCACTTTGGGAGGCCGAGGCGGGTGGATCACGAGGTCGAGAGATCGAGACCATCCTGGTCAACGTGGTGAAACCCCGTCTCTACTAAAAATACAAAACATTAGCTGGGCATGGTGGAGCGTGCCTGTAATCCCAGCTACTCAGGAGGCTGAGGCAGGAGAATTGCCTGAACCCAGGAGGCGGAGGTTGCGGTGAGCCGAGATCGTGCCATTGCACTCCAGCCTGGGTAACAAGAGCGAAACTCCGTCTCAAAAAAAAAAAAAAAATTTTTTTTAAAAAGAAAGAAAACAGGAGCATCACTCGAAGCAGCTCTGCCTCTGCCCTGCCTACTTGAATGAGGGACAGGGCGTCTCACCTGCTTGGAGCAGCTCTTTATGAGCCCCAGCTATTTTTGGGGTCTTCAAGGCAAGCCTCCCATGGCTAAGTCATACCTGACACCGGTGTCCTCCCCTGTTCCGGCCCCGCCTCAGAGATGCTGAGTGACAGAGGCTCAGGCCTCGGGTGTTCCTGGCAAAGCCTCACCCCGGGAGGCCCCACAGCTCAGGCCCAGTGCATGGTTCACATGGCCCCACTTCCGGCCTCTTTTTCCCTTACGATTCTTTGTCCCTGGGAGATCCTGGATCCCTCATTCAGGTGCAGTGCTGCAGAGCAACACTTCTTCCCAGGGGTGACCCAGGTCTGCAGGGTCCCAGTGTCACCGGCGGGCCTTGCCCCAGCCTCCACCCGAGCCCCTGCTCCCCTTTCCCCACAGGGAATGTGACGTCCTCTTCCCAGGGTACACCCACCTGCAGAGGGCCCAACCCATCCGCTGGAGCCACTGGATTCTGAGGTGAGCTGGGCGAGGTGCAGGGGCCATGCTGGAGGGGAGGAGCCGACTGCCCTGACCCTCCTGCCCCCGGCTTCCCACAGCCACGCCGTGGCGCTGACCCGAGACTCCGAGCGGCTGCTGGAGGTGCGGAAGCGGATCGATGTCCTGCCCCTGGGGAGGTGGGTGAGGCTCTAGTGCCCCGAGGGCCTCGGGGGGCAGGCTGCTGCATAGCCTTAGGAATTGACAGACGAGCTGGGAAGCGCAGAGTGGGACAGAAAGCTGGGTTATCTGCTCAGAGGGGGACCGTGCATGGAGCCCCAGCTCTCACCAAGATGGGGATGACCAAGCCAGTGAGTGTGTCTGAGCAGGGCCAGAGCTCTCCAGCGAGGCTCCTGGCGAGCCCAGCCTGCTGCCCTCAGCCTGACATATGGGGACATGTATCTGGAGACAAGTGTCCTGCACTGAAGGTGCCTTGGTGCTTGGGGATGAGTGTTCTGGGGACACCTGGGGACAAGTGCTGTGCACCCAAGGCGACTGGACCAGGAAAGGGGTTGAGCTCCAGACAGTCGCCCTGGCAACGAGGGCTTGGTTCTGTGTGTGTGTCTGTCTGTCTGTCTGTTGGGGCTGCCTGCCAGGAGCCCTGGTCACCATGAATCCCTGTCCCTGCAGCGGGGCCATTGCAGGCAATCCCCTGGGTGTGGACCGAGAGCTGCTCCGAGCAGGTGAGATGCCCTGCCCCTCCTCCCCAGGGAGAGTCACCCTCACCTCCCACCAGGAGCCGCAGTCACACCTGAGACCAGAGGCAGGGGCCTGTGGCTCCTGGTGTAACCTTCATTCATTGCCTATGGGCACTGAACTCATCCAGGCCAGGGGTCACCCATGGCAGGGGCACTTGGTACCGAGAGACTCAGGGCTCCTGCCTCCCTCCTCGGACTGTGCAAAAGTTCCCTCCCACCAGCTCCCACCCAACCCACCCTGATCCTCTTCCCTGATCCTCTTTCCAGGGGGAGGGGGTTGGGTAACCTGGTTGGGGGAGAGGAATCCATTCCCTATGCTCCAGCCCAGCCCTGCTTCCTCCTACCCCCAGAACTCAGCTTCGGGGCCATCACTCTCAACAGCATGGATGCCACCAGCGAGCGTGACTTTGTGGGTGAGTCTTGGGGAGCCAGTCCCTTGCCTTGTGCCTCATTTTTGCCCCCTAGCCTGGCTTCTCTCTAGTCTCCTCCCACCCCCTGTATGGTCAGGCTGGTTGTGGTGATGGATGTACACGAAAGTGTAAACTTTAAATGGGTAAATTGGGCGGGGCATGCTGGCTCACACCTGTACTCCCAGCACTGGCCAACTAAAAATACAAGAATATAGAATTTAGCTAGGTGTGGTGGCGGGTACCTGTAATGCCAGCTACTCAGGAGGCTGAGGCAGGAGAATCACTTGAGCCCGGGAGGCCAAGACGGCAGTGAGCTGAGATCTCGCCAGCACACTCCAGCCTGGGGAACAAGAGTGAAACTCCATCTCAGAAAATGAAATAAAATTAAAAAAAAAAAATTAATGAGTAAATTATATGTGAATAGTATCCCAGTAAACCTGGTTTATTGAAAACAGGAACAATAACAATAACACAAAAGGCTAGGTTCAGGGGCTCACATTTGTAATCCCAGAACTTTGGGAGGCCAAGGCAGGAAGGTTGCTTGAGCCTAGGAGCTTCAGACCAGCCTGGGCAACATAGCAAGACCCCATCTTTACAAAAAATGAAAATTTAGGTTGGGCATGGTGGCTCACACCTCTAATCCCAGCAATTTGGGAGGCTGAGGTGGGCACACTACGACCTCAGGAGAACAAGTCCATCCTGGCCCAACATGGTGAAACTGCGTCTCTACTAAAAAACACAAAGATTGGCCGGGCGTGGTGCAGAGCGCCTGTAGTCCCAGCTACTCCGGAGGGTGAGGCAGGAGAATCACTTGAACCCAGGAGGTGGAGGTTGCAGTGAGCCGAGATCCACGACAGCACTCCAGCCTGGTGACAGAGTGAGACTCCGTCTCAAAAAAATAAATAAAATTGAGCCAGGTCCCCCACCGCCTAACCTCCTCCTACCCCTGTGTGGCCCGGCTGGGCGGGGCCGCGCGAGGCCTGGTGACTGGGGACCTCTTCTCCCTCCCAGCCGAGTTCCTGTTCTGGGCTTCGCTGTGTGTGACCCATCTCAGCAGGATGGCCGAGGACCTCATCCTGTATGGCACCAAGGAATTCGGCTTCGTGCAGCTCTCGGATGCCTACAGGTAAGCCCCGGGCCGCACCTCCACCTGCCCCTCCCGGCCTCTGTGTTCCCCGCCCTCCGCGGACGTGGCCTCCTTTCTCCCCGCCCCACCCCTCCACTGACCCGGCCAGCGCGCTACTGGACCAGCCAAGGGTCCAGCCCGTTCAGTGGCCGCGCCTCTGTCCCCAGCACCGGAAGCAGCCTGATGCCCCAGAAGAAAAACCCCGACAGCTTGGAGCTGATCCGGAGCAAGGCTGGGCGCGTGTTTGGGCGGGTGAGCGGGGCAGGGAGAGGGGTGGGGCTGATGGGAGGGACGGCGGCAGGATTCCGGGTCCAGCCTGTGCCTCCGTCTTCCCGCAGTGCGCCGGGCTCCTGATGACCCTCAAGGGACTTCCCAGCACCTACAACAAAGACCTACAGGTGTGAGGCCGGGGCAGGTCCGCCTGCCTACACGCCATGTGCCGGTTCTCGGGACTCTGGCACACCCAGTCAGGGCCCCCGGGATGGCCATACATCCTCCCGTCCTGTGCGCTCAGCCCCATCCGTGGCTGCCCTTGGAGCTCTCTGCCCTTCCTTTGTTGGGGTACTGAGTGTTCTTCCCGTACAAGGCAGCGGGGATTGCCTCAGTGGGGGCAGGGCTGTGGCGATCCCGGGTGCTGGGGGGCTGTTAGGTCCTCACCTCCTGCCGTGTGCCTCCCAGGAGGACAAGGAAGCTGTGTTTGAAGTGTCAGACACCATGAGTGCTGTGCTCCAGGTGGCCACTGGCGTCATCTCTACGCTGCAGGCAAGACCACACCCAGCTGCCTCTCCTCCCCTGGTCCCAAGCCCGGGGGTGGGCGTTCCAGAGGGTGGCTTTTCAAGGAGGGAGGAGCGCCCGGAGGACCTGGGGCCGGGAAGGAGGGGTGTGCTGACTTCTGCTCCTGGGGAACAGGGAAGGGGCAGAAACCGCTGCCACCCAACGGAAGCAGATGAGACTCAAGGGGCCTGGGGCCTGTCAACTGGCCTGACCAAAACCCTTTGTAAAGAAAGGAAAATTTATATAGAGGACGGGCGCAGTGGCTCATGCCTGGAATCCGACACTTTGGGAGGCTGAGGCAGGTGGATCACTTGAGTTCAGGGGTTTGAGACCAGCCTGGCCAACATGGTGAAATCCCATCTCTACTAAAAATACAAAAATTAGCCGGTTATGGTGGAAAGCGCCTGAGTCCCACCTGCTCGGGAGGCTGAGGCAGGAGAATCACTTGAACCCAGGAGATGGAGGTTGCAGGGAGCCGAAATCATGCCATTGCTCTCCAGCCTGGATGACAGAATGAAACTCTGTCTTCAAATGTATAAATAAATTAAATATCTAAAAAAATTTTTTTTTTTTTTTTTTTTTTTGAGACGGAGTTTTGCTCTTGTTACCCAGGCTGGAGTGCAATGGCGCGATCTCGGCTCACCGCAGCCTCCGCCTCCTGGGTTCAGGCAATTCTCCTGCCTCAGCCTCCTGAGTAGCTGGGATCACAGGCACGCGCCACCATGCCCAGCTAATGTTTTGTATTTTTAGTAGAGACGGGGTTTCACCATGTTGACCGGGATGGTCTCAATCTCTTGACCTCGTGATCCACCCGCCTCAGCCTCCCAAAGTGCTGGGATTACAGGCTTGAGCCACCGCGCCCGGCAAAAAAAAAAAAAAAATTATTTTTTAGAGAGAGTTTCTGTCTGTCACCCAGGCTGGAGTGCGGTGGTACACTTGTAGCTCACCGCAGCCTCGAACTCCTGGGCTCAAGTGATCCTCCCACCTCAGTCTCCAGAGTAGCTGGGACCACAGGAGTGGTCCACCACCACGTCTGACTAATTTTTAAAATTTTTTGTAAAGACAGGGTCTCCTTATGTTGCTCAGGCTGGTCTCGAACACTTGGCCCCAAGCCATTTTTCTACCTTCATCTCCCTAAGTTTGGGGATTACAGGCGTGAGCCTCTTTGCCTGGCTGATTTCTTTTAAAATCAATTCTTATGGGAAATTTCTGTATCTAACAGCTAGAAAATGCATAATAAGTCCTATGTACTGACGCCCAGCTTCAACAATAATCAACTCACGGACATTCTGGCTCCAACTGTCTTTACCCACAGCCCTCCCCCACTCCTTCACCCCCTTATTTCAAAGCAAATTCCCATCATCACATTATTTCATTCCTAAATAGTTCAGAATGTGTCTTGGCTGGGCACAGAGGCTCACACTGTAATCCCAGCACTTTAGGAGGCTAAGGTGGGCAGATCACTTGAGGTCAGGAGTTTGAGACCAGCCTGGCCAACATGGTGAAACCCAGTCTTTACTGAAAATATAAAAATTAGCTGGGTGTGGTGGCACATGCCTGTAATACCAGCTACTGGATGGGTGAGGCAGGAGACTCGCTTGAACCCGGTAGATGGAGATTGCAGTGAACAGAGATCATGCTATTACACTCCAGCCTGTGTAACAGAGCAAGACTCCATCTCAAAAAAAAAAAAAGAAAGAAAAGAAAAAAGAAAAAAAAAAATGTTTCTTGAAGCTAGTACCCCAACTAGCAGCACCAGCATCACCTCAGAACTTAAATGCAGTGTGAGGCCTCACTCCAGATGGCTGAATCAGAGACTCTGGGGGTAGTCCCCAGCAATTTGTATTTTAAATAAATTCTCCAGTGGCTAGGCCTGGTGGCCCATACCTGTAATCCCAGCACTTTGAGAGGCTGAGGCAGGAGCATTGCTTGAGCCCAGGAGTTCAAAACCAGTCGGAGCAACATAGCGAAACCCTGTCTCTAAAATTAAAAAAATTAAATTATCCAGTTGAGATGGCATGTACCTGTGGTCCCAGCCACTCAGGAGACTGATGTGGGAGGATCCCTTGAGCCCAGGAGATCAAGAATGCAGACAGCCAGATTGCGGCACTGCACTCCAGCCTGGGCAGCAGAGCAAGACCCTGTCTCTAAAAAGGAAAACAAATCCTTCAGGAACTTCTGATGCATGCTAAAGATAAGGACTCTTGGAAAACATAAATGCCAGTAAACAGTTATAGCACACATAAATACTATCGATAATTATGAGAAGATGGTTCAAGCTGAGGGTGACAGAGCTGAGTGGTAAGAGAGGAGCTGCCCAAGGCAGGGACATGCTGGCGGAGGGGCAGGTCCTGGGCCTGCAGCTTCAGACCCCAGGTCCCCAGGGCTCACCACTTCCCCACCTGCACCCCTAGATTCACCGAGAGAACATGGGACAGGCTCTCAGCCCCGACATGCTGGCCACTGACCTCGCCTATTACCTGGTCCGAAAAGGAGTGAGTGTGTAGCAGTGAGTGGGAGGGGGAGGAGATGGGGTGCCCCCTAGAGGGTAGGGGAACTCAGGAAGGGGCACAGGCAGCCCAGTCTTGTGGCTCACACATGTAATCCCAGTATTTTGGGAGGCCATGGTGGGCGGGTCTCTTGGGGCCAGGAGTTCAAGACCAGCCTGGTCAACATAGTGAAACCCTGTCTCTGCTAAAAATACAATAATTAGCCGGATGTGGTGGCACATTCCTCTAATCCCAGCTACTCAGAAAGCTGAGGCAGGAGAATTTCTTGAAGCTGGCAGGCGGATGTTGCAGTGAGGTGAGATTGAGTCGCTGCACTCCAGCCTGGGCGACAGAATGAGACTTTGTACCCCTCCCTCCAAAAAAAGGAAGGGGTACAGGCAATGGAGGCAGATCAGGGCCCGGAGGAAGCTGCCTCAGGGCCACCTTCCTCCCCGCCACCCAGATGCCATTCCGCCAGGCCCACGAGGCCTCCGGGAAAGCCGTGTTCATGGCTGAGACCAAGGGGGTCGCCCTCAACCAGCTGTCACTGCAGGAGCTGCAGACCATCAGGTGCGGCCCACCCCCTCCCCACGCTGCCTCCTGGTGGATGAGCCTGGGTGCCTGGAGGCCGGGGTGGCCCTCGCCCTGGCCCAGCTCTTCCTCTCTCTGCAGCCCCCTGTTCTTGAGTGACGTGAACCGCGTGTGGGACTACGGGCACAGCGTGGAGCAGTACGGGGCCCTGGGCGGCACTGCGCGCTCCAGCGTCGACTGGCAGATCCGCCAGGTGCGGGCGCTACTGCAGGCACAGCAGGCCTAGGTCCTTCTGCGCCTGCTCCCAAATAAAGTGAGCGTGAGAGGACGCGGCTGTGTGTTTCCTGCCCCAGCCTGGCGCCCTCGAAGCTGAGCTTTCCGGGACTGGCCCGTGGGCATGGTGAGGGACTGGAAAGGCAGGACGGGGTGGCCTGTAATCCCAGCACTTTGGAAGGGCAAGGGTAAGGATGCTTGAGGCCAGGAGATCAAGATCAGCCTGGGCAACACAGGGAGACCCCGTCTCTACCCAGCAATAAAGCAAATAATCAGCCTGGCGTGGCAGTGTATGTCTATAGTCCCAGATACTTGTCAAGCTGAGGCAAGAGGATCACTCGCGCCCAGGGGTGGAGGCTGCGGTGAGCTATGGTCACGCCACTGCATTCTAGCCTGGACAACAGGGAGACCCTGTCTCTCAAAAAACAAATGGAAGCGGAGAAAATTGGGCAAGGGCAGTGAGAGTCACAGACGGGGAAGGAAGAGGGGGCTTGCGTCACAGCCTCTGCCCTGTCCAGGGCCCATCCCCTTCAAACAGGGCAAGGGCAGTGAGAGTCACAGATGGGGAAGGAAGAGGGGCTCCCGTCACAGCCTCTGCCCTGTCCAGGGCCCATCCCCTTCAAACAGGGTGTCAAAGTGACCTCCTAGGCCAGGAGTAGTGGCTCACACCTGTAATCCTAGCACAAGGATTATGGGCAACATAGCAATTTCCCAGCTACCACATTAAAAAAATAAAAGTAGCCAAGCTGGACACGTTGGCTCACAGCTGAAATCCCAGCACTCTAGCAGGGTGAGGCTGGTGGATCACTTGAGGCCAGGAGTTGGAGACCAGCCAGGCCAACATGGTGGAATCCCATCTTTATTAAAAACACAAAAAGTAGCTGGGCGTGGTGGTGCATGCCTGTAATCCTAGCTGCTCGGCAAGTTGAGGCAGGAGAATTGCTTGAACCTGGGAAGCGGAAGTTGCAGTGAGCCTGGGCCACAGAGTGGGACTTTGTCTAAAAAACAAGAAAAAGAAATAGCCAGTTGTGGTGGTGTGTGCCTATAGTCCCAGCGACTTGGAAGGCTGAGGCGGGAGGATCGCTTGAGCACAGCAGTGGGAGGCTCCGGTGAGCTGTGATGGCACCACTTTACTCCAGCCTGAGTGACAGAACAAGACCCTGTCCCTAAAAGAAACAAGAAATGTCTGAAACTTACATTTTATTAACAAAGATAAACAACCTAAACTCAGGGAAGAATGAATAACACCTGCCAAGTGATTTTGAGAGTAATGACAGGTTTTGTTTACTAAAGAACCAAGGCTGCGTGCCGTGGCTCCTGCCTGGAATCCCAGCACTTGGGGGGTCAAGGCGGGCGGATCACCTGAGGCAAGGAGTTGGAGACCAGCCTGGCCAACATGGTGAAACCCCGTCTCCACTAAAAATACAAAGAATTAGCCAGGCACGGTGGCACACGCCTGTAATCCCAGCTACTTGGGAGGCTGAGGTAGGAGAATCGCTTGAACCTGGGAGGCAGAGGTTAAGGTAAGCTGAGATTGCACCTTTGTACTCCAGCCTGGGCAACAAGAGCTAAACTGTCGTAATGATAATAATAAGGCTGGCACAGTGTCTCATGCCTGTAATCACAGCACTCTGGGAGGCTGAGGTGGGTGGATCACCTGAGGTTAGGAGTTTGAGACCAGCCTGGCCAAGATGGTGAAATCCTGTCTACTAAAAATGCAAAAATTAGCTGGGCATGGTGGCAAGTGCCTGTAATCCCAGCTACACAGGAAGCTGAAGCAGGAGAATTGTTTGAACCCAAGAGGCAGAGGTTGCAGTGAGCCAGAATTGTATCATTGCATTCTACCCTGGGTGACAAGAGCAAGAATCCAAATTAAAGAATAAAAATGAGTTGAGTACGGTGGCTCATGCCTATAATCTTAGCACTTTAGGAGGCTGAGGTGGGTGGATCACCTGAGGTCAGGAGTTCAAGACGAGCCTGGCCATCACGGTGAAACCCTATCTTAATAAAAAAAAAAATAAAAATGAGTCCGGGCATGGTGGCTCAGGCCTGTAATCCCAGCACTTTGGGAGGCCAAAGTGGGCAGATCATGAGGTCAGGTGATGGAGACCATCCTGACCAACATGATGAAACCAACCCTCTCTACTAAAAAAAAAAAAAAAAAAAAAATTAGCTGGATGTGGTGGCACACACCTGTAGTCCCAGCTACTTGGGAGGCTGAGGCAGGAGAATTGCTTGAAGCCAGGAGGTAGAGATTGCAGTGAGCCGAGACTGAGCCACTGCACTACAGCCTGGGTGATGATGCGAGACTCCATCTCAAAAAAAAAAAAAAAAAAAAGGAGGGAAGAAGAGGAAAGGGGAGGAAGAGAAGGAGGAGGAAGAGGAGAAAAAACAGCCAGAGGAGGAACAGCCAGGTGTGGCAGCTCATGCCTGTAATCAGAGGAGGAGGAGCACAAGGAGGAGTAGCTCACACCTGTAATCCCAGGAGGAGGATGAGGAGGAACAGCTAGGCCATAGAGCGAGACTCTGTCTCAACAAACAATAAACCAAAAAAACATATGTCTGGGTGTGGTGGCTCACACCTGTAATCCTAGCATTTTGGGAGGCAGAGGCAGGCGGATCACGAAGTCAGGAGTTTGAGACCGACCTGGCCAACATGGTGAAACCCTTTCTCTACTAAAAATGCAAAAATTACCTAGGCATGGTAGCTCCGCCTGTAATCCCAGCTACTCAGAAGCCTAAAGCAGAAGAATTGCTTGAACCTGGGAGGCAGAGGTTGCAGTGAGCCGAGATAGCACTATTGCACTCCTGCCTGGACAACAGAACTCGACTTTATTTTTTTATTTTATTTTATTTTATTTATTTATTTATTTATTTATTGGAGACGGAGTTTCGCTCTTGTTACCCAGGCTGGAGTGCAATGGCGCAATCTCGGCTCACCGCAACCTCCGCCTCCTGGGTTCAAGCAATTCTCCTGCCTCAGCCTCCTGAGTAGCTGGGATTACAGGCACGCGCCACCATGCCCAGCTGATTTTTTGTATTTTTAGTAGAGATGGGGTTTCACCTTGTTGACCAGGATGGTCTCGATCTCTCGACCTCGTGATCCACCCGCCTCGGCCTCGCAATATTTTTTATTTATTACTTAAATTGTAGCAGGAGCCGGGCGCGGTGGCTCAAGCCTGTAATCCCAGCACTTTGGGAGGCCGAGGCGGGTGGATCACGAGGTCAAGAGATCGAGACCATCCTGGTCAACGTGGTGAAACCCCGTCTCTACTAAAAATACAAAATTAGCTGGGCATGGTGGCGCGTGCCTGTAATCCCAGCTACTCAGGAGGCTGAGGCAGGAGAATTGCCTGAACCCAGGAGGCGGAGGTTGCGGTGAGCCGAGATCGCGCCATTGCACTCCAGCCTGGGTAACAAGAGCGAAACTCCGTCTCAAAAAAAAAAAAAAAAAAAAAAAAATTGTAGCAGGAGTGGCTGCGGGAAATGGATTTCCTGAACACCAAATACGGGATGAAAGAGGGTTTTCAATGGCAGGGTTAAATTTCAGGAAGGCAGAAGCTATAGGCAAAATTGTAAAGCTGGCCAGTCACAGTGGCTCACACCTGTAATCCCAGCACTTTTGGGAGGCTGAAGGAGGAGGATCCCTTGGGGCCAGGAGTTCAAGAACAGCTTGGGCAACGTAGGGAGACCCTGTTTCTAATTTAAAAAAAAAAAAAACTGGGTGTGGTGACTCACATCTGTAATCCCAGCATTTTGGGAGGCCGAGGTGTGCAGATCACCTGAGGTCAGGAGTTCAAGACCAACCTGACCAACATAGAGAAACCCCGTCTCTACTAAAAATACAAAATTACCTGGGCGTGGTGGTACCTGCCTATAATCCAGCTACTCAGGAGGCTGAGGCAGGAGAATTGCTGGAACCTGGGAGTTGGAGGTTACAGTGAGCTGAGATCATGCCTCTGCACTACAGTCTGGGTAACAAGACCAAAACTCAGTCTCAAAAAAAAAAAGAAAGAAAATCTTAAAACCATACATGGAGGTTACACATTGGCTTTGGCCTCAAGGATGGGGCATCTCGAAGCAGGGGCTTACAGGTTGTAGGTAGATTAAAAGATGTTCTGGGCTGGGTGGAGTGGCTCACTCCTGTAATCCCAGCACTTTGGGAGGCCAAGGCAGGTGGATCACCTGAGGTCAGGAGTTCGAGACCAGCCTGGCCAATGTGGCGAAACCCTGTCTCAACTAAAAATACAAAGCTGGGCGTGGTGGTGGGTAACTGTAATCCCCATTACTTGGGAGGCTGAGGGAGGAGAATTGCTTGAACTTGGGAGTTGGAGATTGCAGTGAGTGGTGAGATTTCACCATGGTGGTCAGGCTGGTCTTGGACTCCTCACCTCAGGTGATACACCTGCCTCGGCCTCCCAAAGTGCTGGGATTTCAGGCCTGAGCCACTGCTGCTGGCCATTCCGGACGTTCCTAGCAGGTAAATTGGGTGGGAGGTATGCAGCTTTTTTTTTTTTTTTTTTTTTTTTTTAATTTCTTTGGAGACGGAGTCCCACTCTGTTGCTTAGGCTGGAGCGTGGTGGCACTATTTCAGCTGGCTGCAACCTCCACCTCCCAGGTTCAAGAAATTCTCCTGCCTTAGCCTCCCGAATAGCTGGGATTACAGGTGTGCATCACCACAACCAGCTAATTTTTTGTATTTTTAGTAGAGACAGGGTCTCACCAGGTGACCAGTCTGGTCTTGAACCCTTGACTTCAGGTGTTCTGACTTCAGTTGAACCCCTGACCTCAGCCTCCCAAAGTGGTGGGATTAAAGGCATGAGCCACTGCACCTGGCATATGCAGGTTTTTTTTTTTTTTTTTTTTTTGAGACGGAGTTTCGCTCTCCGTCTTTTTGTTTCCCAGACTAAAATGCAGTGGCACCATCTCAGCTCACTGCAACCTCCACCCCATGGGTTCAAATAATCCTACTGCCTCAGTCTTGCTAGTAGTTGGGACTACAGATTTGTAGCCACCAGGCCCGGCTAATTTTTGTATTTTTAGTAGAGACAGATTTCACCATGTTGCTCAGGCTGGTCTTGAACTGCTGACCTCAAGTGATCCACCTGCCTCAGCCTCCCAAAGTGCTGGGATTACAGGCATGAGCCATCATGCTCTCCCTGGAGGGGAAGTTTATTTAAAAGGCTTTAGAACAGGAAAGAAAGGAAAGGAAAGCATGCTTGAAAGAGACCCAAGAGGGCACGGAAGTCAAGTGTGGTGTTTAACCTTGATTCTAGGACTTTTAGGCTGGCCTCTTTCCCATGATCCTTTCCTTAGGGTGGGCTGCCACAGTGGGCAGGTGAGCCCCTGCCGTGTGTTTAGAAACTGTGTCATACAACCCCATTTTGTCTTTTTTTTTTTTTTGAGACGGAGTTTCGCTCTTGTTACCCAGGCTGGAGTGCAATGGCGCGATCTCGGCTCACCGCAACCTCCGCCTCCTGGGTTCAGGCAATTCTCCTGCCTCAGCCTCCTGAGTAGCTGGGATTACAGGCACGTGCCACGATGCCCAGCTATTTTTTTGTATTTTTAGTAGAGACGGGGTTTTGGTCTCGATCTCTCGACCTCGTGATCCACCCGCCTCGGCCTCCCAAAGTGCTGGGATTACAGGCTTGAGCCACCGCGCCCGGCCCCATTTTGTCTTTTTTTGAGACAAAGTCTTCTCTGTTGCCGAGGCTGGAGAGCAGTGGTGTGATCTCAGCTCACTGCAACCTCCACCTCCCTAGTTCAAGCAGTTCTCTCCCTCAGCCTCTGAGTAGCTGGGATTACAGGTGCCTGATACCACACCTGGCTAATTTTTGTATTTTTAGTAGAGACAGGGTTTCTACAGGGTTTCATCTTGGCCAGGCTGCTCTTGAACTCCAGACCTTGTGATCCACCTGCCCCAGCCTCCTAAAGTGCTGGGATTATAGGTGGGAGCCACTGTGCTCGGCCTTTTTTTTTTTTTTTGAGGTGGAGTCTTGCTCTGTCGCCAGGTGCCAGGCTGGACTGCAGTGGCAGAATCTCAGCTCACTGCAACCTCCACTTCCCAGGTTCAAGCAATTCTCCTGTCTCAGCCTCCTGAGTAGCTGGGACTACAGGCACACGCCAGTATGCCCAGCTAATTTTTGTATTTTTAGTAGAGACAGGGTTTCACCATGTTGGCCAGGATGGTCTTGATCTCTTGACCTTGTGATCCGCCCACCTTGGCCTCCCAAAGTGCTGGGATTACAGGCTTGAGCCACCGAGCCGGGCTATTAGGACATTTTACAAAACAGTGTAAGTAAACAAAAGGTTAATCTATCATCAGAGGAACAAAGGTTACAGCTGCCTAGGTTACAGAGCTCTGCCCTGTGACTTAAGTCCCACAGTCTCATTCTTTTGAATCTCCAAATAATTTAAATTTCCAACAGCTCTGACTTTGAATTACTGATTTTTGCTTTTTACTTTTTTTCTTTTGAGATGGAGTTTTGCTTTTGTCGCCCAGACTGGAGTGCAATGGTGGGATCTTGGCTCACTGCAACCTCTACCTCCCCGGTTCAAGTGATTCTCCTGCCTCAGCCTCCCTAGCAGCTAAGATTACAGGCACCTGCCACCACGCCAAGCTAATTTTTTTTTTTTTTTTTTGAGACGGAGTTTTGCTCTTGTTACCCAGGCTGGAGTGCAATGGCGCGATCTCGGCTCACCACAACCTCCGCCTCCTGGGTTCAGGCAATTCTCCTGCCTCAGCCTCCTGAGTAGCTGGGATTACAGGCACGCGCCACCATGCCCAGCTAATTTTTTTGTATTTTTAGTAGAGACAGGGTTTCACCATGTTGACCAGGATGGTCTCGATCTCTTGACCTTGTGATCCACCCGCCTCGGCCTCCCAAAGTGCTGGGATTACAGGCTTGAGCCACCGTGCCCGGCCGCCAGGCTAATTTTTGAATTTCTGTTAGAGATTAGGTTTCACCTTGTTGACCAGACTGGTTTGAACTCCTGATCTCAGGTGATCCATATGTCTCGGACTTCTAAAGTGCTGGGATTACAGCTGTCAGCCACTGCACCTGGCCCGAATTACCGATTTTTACATATCGTATAAACTTTCACATCCTACTTTTTCTTACTTTTGTTGAATTTGGCCTAAAGCTGCCTTGTAAACAGTGAACTGTATCCTAATTTAAATGTGTAAACATTCCACTAAAGAAATATAGAAGTAAAATTTTAAAAAAAGAAAATCAAAGGAGTGTAAACATTTGGGGAAAAGCTTTTAGGCCTTGTCTGTTTCTAGAATCTATGTATTTCACTACGCTAGGGACTCCATTTCCAGTATTAAGGTCCATTTCCAGAAGGTCAATCTGGTGAGCATGAAAAAAGGGGGTGGGGAGTACACACAATTGCGTCTAGACCAGGATCGTAGGACCCGAGGGTCCTCTCTGCATGGCAGAGGCACCTGACGGCCGTACCTGATGTGACCCTGAGAATGACTTTGTGATCTAAGAAGAATGTGTGTTAGGAGCCCTAAGCTAAGGAATCCGGAGTGGCAAGATGTGGGAAGGATGCCAATCTATGGAACCTCGAGTCAAGAGGTCGAACTGGGCACTTGGTTTCTGAGGTCGCCAGCTTGGCCTCCTTTCAAGTCATACTTTCCTTCTTCCCTTTCCTTTCCTTCCTCTTCTAAAGTGTTTTAATACACTTTTTTTTTTTTTTTTTTGAGATGGTGTCTCACTCTATTGCCCAGGCTGCAGTGCAGGGGCGCGATCTCGGCTCACTGCGAGCTCCGCCTCCCCGGTTCAAGAGGGTCTCCTGCCTCCGCCTCCGGAGTGGCTGGGATACAGGCACGCGCCAGCACGCCCGGCTCATTTCGGTGTTTTTAGTAGAGACACGGTGTCCCTGTGCTGGCCAGGATGGTCTCCAGCCCCTGACCTCAGGTGGTCTGCCCGCCTCAGCCTCCCCAGCTGCTGTGCTGACCCGCGGTGCCCAGCCTCTCTCCCTGAATCTTTCTGTGCCTGCAGCGCCAAGGGGGAGCTCCTGGCCCCCGGGGCCCGGGGTCGAGGCTGCGGCCGCATCCCAAGGACGCGCATCCCCGCAAGAGGCTCCCCCGGGGCCCGCTCGGAGTCCGGCTGGGGAAAGCGGGCCGAGGGGCTCCTGGAAGGGACGGGGGAATGCCGCCCATCTCAGGGGTTCAGTCCCGGCCTGCGGCCCCGCATCGTCCAGCCTGGGCCGGGGCGGGGAGCAGACCTCGCCCTTCTTGGCTGGGGCTGAGTGTGGGGGTCCGGCTGCCCCGAAGTCCCAGCCCCGCGTTCCCAGCCCCCGCCCCGCCCTCCCCTCCAGGCCTGGCACTCGCCCTCAACCAACATGGCGCCCGCGGGCTCGGCACGTCCCGCGGCACGCCCGCCGGGCTCCGCCCTCACTGCGCTTACGCCCTCAGGCTGCGGCCGGGCGGCGGCGGGAGGCGGGAGGCGGGAGGCGGCAGGCGGCGGCGCGGGAGGCGGGAGGCGGGAGGCGGCGGCGCGAGAGGCGGGAGGCGGGAGGCGGGAGGCGGCGGCGTGGGAGGCGGTGGCGCGGGAGGCGGGAGGCGGGAGGCGGCGGCGCGGGAGGCGGGCGGCGGGAGGCGGCGGCGCGGGAGGCGGGAGGCGGGAGGCGGGAGGCGGGAGGCGGCGGCGCGGGAGGCGGGAGGCGGGAGGCGGCGGCGCGGGAGGCGGGAGGCGGGAGGCGGCGGCGCGGGAGGCGGGCGGCGGGAGGCGCGAGGCGCGAGGCGCGGCGCGGGAAGCATGGTCCGGGGTCGGGCGGCGGCCTGGGCCGCGCTGGGGCCGCTGCTGTGGGGCTGCGCGCTGGCGCTGCAGGGCGGGATGCTGTACCCCCGGGAGAGCCCGTCGCGGGAGCGCAAGTCGCTGGACGGCCTGTGGAGCTTCCGCGCCGACTTCTCCGACACGCGGCGCCGCGGCTTCGAGGAGCAGTGGTACCGGCGGCCGCTGCGGGAGGTGCGCGGCGGGGCGGGGCGGCGCGGCGCGCGGGAGCCCGGCGGGGGTTAAAGGTCAGCGGGCGTGTGGGTGCGGGGCTGGGGGACGGGGGACGGAGGGGGCTCGGGAGGGCGGTGAGCCCGGGCAGCCTCCTTCTTTTTAAGGGTTCTTTTTAATTAAAAAGTTTTTTTGAGACTGTGCTTGGCCCTGTGGCCCAGGCTGGAGCTCGGTGGCGCAGTCCTGACCAGCAGCTCGAGCGGTCCTCCCGCCCCTGCCCTGCAAGTTTCCTGGGGCCTCCACGCCTGGCTTATTAACACAGAACGAGACAAAACAACCGCTAAGACTCTTCCTTTGTAGGGTCGGTGTCTCGCTACGTGGCGCAGGTTGGTCTCGAACCCCTGGCCTCAAGCCATCGCCCTACACTGACCTCCCACAGCGCTGATGACGGGCGTGAGCCATCCAGACCCTCTGCTGGCCAGTCCGGCCGGAGCCGGGCCGGGGATCCGGAGGAGGGGGCAGTGTGGGCATCCGGAGGTCAGCTCTGCCGGGCCAGGAAGGTTCCTTGGTTTCCGAGTTCAGATATTGGACGGGGTGTGACATCAGGCCAAGGACGCCACCCTTGCTCCCCTCCTGACTTGGATGTGGCCGGCAGAGCAGTGGGACCGGGTGAGGTCTGGGCCGCTTCTGCCTGGGCCACATCCTCTTTTTCTGGCTTGGCGGCGTTTAGTGCAGGAGGAAGAGGCCTGGGTGCCAGCGGGCGCCCCGCTCACAGCGTGCGAGGCAAAGCCCCCCAGCCCCCCAGCCAGCCTTCCTCCCTGTGCCAGGCAGTGGGTCATCTGCCTCTTAGTCACGGTTCTGAGCCTTCTTTCTGGGGGTCTGGGACGTGGCCCTGGGCTCACTCCTCTCTCGCTCCGAGGAGGAACTCGTGGCCACACTGGCAGTTGACCTGTCATCAGCAAGTTCTGTCCATTGCACCAGGAATCCCGCCATGTGTCAGGGCATGTGCTAGGCCTGGGGGCACAGCTGTGAAGCACGCTGGTCCGGGATCCCTTTCGGGGCCTAGGAGCTGATCCCCGCTCTTCTCTCCACAGTCAGGCCCCACCTTGGACATGCCGGTTCCCTCCAGCTTCAACGACATCGGCCAGGACTGGCGGCTGCGGCATTTTGTCGGCTGGGTGTGGTACGAACGGGAGGTGACCCTGCCGGAGCGGTGGACCCAGGACCCGCGCATAAGAGTGGTGCTAAGGATTGGCAGTGCCCACTCCTATGCCATTGTGGTCAGTGTGGCCAGGAGCAGGCGGTGTGGGTGGTGGGCATGGCTGCTAAACAGCATGGGACCGCCAGCTGCCACCCACAGCCTGTCTCCTGGGGTGGGATGGTGGGGGCCCAGCCCTGGGGTGTGCCCTGTGTAGGGGGATGGGTGGCCTCATCTGCCCCATCGGGATGCCATTCTTCCTGTGCAGCTGGCAGGCCTCTGAGTCCCATGCTGCAGGTTATGAGAGGGAGTATCCGATAGCAGGGCCCCTCCTCATACCCCGACCTGCTGCCCCCTCCCCATGTCTCCTGTGTCTGCAGTGGGTGAACGGGATCAACACACTTGAGCATGAGGGTGGCTACCTCCCCTTTGAGGTCGACATCAGCAGCCTGGTCCAAGTGGGGCCCCTGCCCCTCCGCGTCACTATTGCCATCAACAACACGCTCACCCCCTCCACCCTGCCACCAGGGACCATCCGCTACATGAATGATGCCTCCAGGTGGGTACTGTCCTGCCCCAGCCCGTGGTCTTCCTGCTAGGGACAGGGTGGCCTTCGAAGAGCAGGCTCTGGATCTAGGGATGACCCAGGGCAAGGGCCCAGCAAACCACAGTCTTCCCACCCTAGGTACCCCAAGGGTTACTTTGTCCAGAACACAGACTTTGACTTCTTCAACTACGCGGGACTGCAGCGGTCTGTGCTTCTGTACACGACACCGACCACCTACATCGATGACATCACCGTCACCACCGGCGTGCAGCAAGACAGCGGTGAGGGCTTCTGGTAGGATCCGCCCTCAGCGGGGCCCAGGTGGCTCTGTTCCCTGTTGGGAAAGCTCTCCCAGGAAAAGTTTCTCCTGGCATCTCTAAACCCTTACAGGTGCCCATCCACCTACAAAGCCTAAATCCAGACTGTCTGAGCGGGCACAGGCTCCCGAAATCACCTGTGTGGTTGACTTCGCTTGTAGAAGAGGGGTCTGGCCTCAGGTCACACAGCCCAGGGTGGCAGTCCTGCCCCTTACCACGGTGCTACCCTCACACCAGCTCCCCTCTGCCCCTCCTCACGGTGCCGCCCTCACACCAGCTCCCCTCTGCCCCTCCCCACGGTGCCGCCCTCACACCAGCTCCCTTCTGTCCCTCCCCATGGTGCCGCCCTCACACCAGCTCCCTTCTGTCCCTCCCCATGGTGCCGCCCCCTCCAGCTCCCCTCTGCCCCTCCCCACAGTGCCACCCTCACACCAGCTCCCCTCTGTCCCTCCCCACGGTGCCACCCTCACACCAGCTCCCCTCTGCCCCTCCCCACGGTGCCGCCCCCTCCAGCTCCCCTCTGCCCCTCCCCACAGTGCCACCCTCACACCAGCTCCTCTCTGTCCCTCCCCACGGTGCCACCCTCACGTCAGCTCCCCTCTGCCCCTCCCCACGGTGCCGCCCTCACCAGCTCCTGTCTGTCCTTTCCCACTATGCCCTCTCGCCAGCTCCCCTCTGCCCCTCCCCATGGTGCCGCCCCCTCCAGCTCCGCTCTGTCCCTTCCCAAGGTGTGGCTCTCGCCAGCTCCCCTCCGTCCCTCCCCACGGTACCATCCCCTCTCCAGCTCCCCTTGCTGCACATGGTGCTCAAGGGACAGGCAGTTTCAGGGGCCAGGTTTGGCAGTTCACGCCTGTCATCCCAGCACTTTGCAAGTGAGAGTACAAGGAGAATCACTTGAGGCCAGGAGTTCAGACCAGGCTGGGCAACATAGCGAGACCATCACCACAAAAAAATTCAAAAGCTAGCCAGGTATGATGATTCGTGCCAGTAGTCCCAGCTGCTGTGGCAGGAGAATCACTTGAGCCTGGGAGGTCAAGGGGTCAGGAAACGATGACCATGTCACTGCACTCTAGTCTGAGCAAAAGAGGGAGACCTTGTCTTTAAAAATTTTCTTTTTCAGCCGGGCGCGTTGGCTCAAGGCTGTAATCCCAGCACTTTGGGAGGCCGAGGCGGGTGGATCACGAGGTCAAGAGATCGAGACCATCCTGGTCAACATGGTGAAACCCCGTCTCTACTAAAAATACTAAAAATTAGCTGGGCATGGTGGCGCGTGCCTGTGATCCCAGCTACTCAGGAGGCTGAGGCAGGAGAATTGCCTGAACCCAGGAGGCGGAGGTTGCGGTGAGCCGAGATCATGCCATTGCACTCCAGCCTGGGTAACAAGAGCGAAACTCCGTCTCAAAAAAAAAAAAAAAAAAAAAAAAAAAAAGATGGGGTTTCTCCTTGATGGCCAGGCTGGTCTTGAACCCCTGACCTCAAGTGATCCACCCACCTGGGCCTCCCAAAGTGCTATGATTACAGGCGTGAGCCACCATGCCCGGCCTATTCCTTTTTAAAATATATCTTTTTTTTTTTCTCCTTTCGATGTTATCTAAAAATACATCTTTTTCTTCTGCTGAGATGAAGTCTTGCCCTGCTGCCCAGGCTGGAGCGCAGTGTGAGATTATTGACAGCTGTTGTGGGGCTGTAGTTCTAAGTTTAAAAGAATTTAGGCTGGGTGTGGTGGCTAATGACTGTCATCCCAGCACTTTGGGAGGCCAAGGTGGGCGGATCTCCTGAGCTCAAAAGTTCGAGACTAGCCTGGGCAACATAGTGAGATCATGTCTCAAAAATAAATAAATAAAAATTTAAACAAAAGTCACACAGCAAAGGTGATACAGTATAAAGTAATTTATTGCAAAGAAAAAAGTATTTTGGAAATTAATTGCAGAATAGGCCAGGCACAGTGGCTCATGCCTGTAATCCCAGCACTTTGGGAAGCCAAGGCTGGTGGATCACTTGAGCTCAGGCATTGAAACCAGCCTGGCCAGCTCGGTGAAACCCAGTCTCTAAACACAAAAAAATTAGCTGGGCGTGGTGGCGAGTGCCTGTAATTCCAGCTACTCGGGAGGTTGAGATGGGAGAATCGCCTGAACCCAGGAGGTGGAGGTTGCAGTGAGCTGAGATTGCCACACTGCACTCCAGCCTGGGTGACAGAGTGAGACCCTGTCTCAAAAAAGTGAAGTGAAAAATACGTGGTTCCCCCTGAGAGAGAGAGTTCAGGGCAGGCTGCTGGTAAGGATGAGACAGTGCTGAGTGTTACTGGGGAAACTCCCTTTCTGGGAGTCTGCATAATTAATTCCTGAGAAACTGGAAGAGGTGTTAACTGTAAGCATGTTCTGGGTCGTCCTCTGGGTGTACACATGTAGTAGCTGTACGTGCCTGTTCATGTCACATCTTCACGCCGTGGTCGGCACATCTGTAGGACACGGTCACTTCCTTGACCACCTATCCTGCCTCAAGGTCACAGCTCATTGCAGCCCCCAACTCCTGGCTCAAGCAGTCCTCTGACTTCAGCCTTCCAAGTAGCTGGGGCCGCTGGGGCTGCTGGGGCTGCAGGCACGCACCACCATGCCCAGCAAAGTTTTTTTTTTTTTTTTTTTTGAGGAGTCTTTCCCTGTCACCCAGGCTGGAGTGCAGTGGCACGATCTCAGCTCACTGCAACCTCCGTCTCCAGGGGTTCACGAATTTCTCCTGCCTCAGCCTCCTGAGTAGCTCTCATTATAGGTAGACACCACCACACCTAGATACTTTTTTGTATTTTTAGTAGAAATGGGGTCTTACTCTGTTGGCCAGACTAGTCTTGATCTCGTGACCCCATGGTCTGCCTGCCCTGGCCTCCCAAAGTGTTGGGATTACAGGCATTAGCCGCCATGCTTGGCCAATTTTTGTATTTTTAGGAAAGGTGTGGTTTCTCTATGTTCCCCAGGCTGCTCTTGAACTCCCAGTACTTTGGGAGGCTGAGGTGGGTGGATCATCTAAGGTCAGAAGTTCAAGACCAGCCTGGCCAACATGGCAAAACCCCATCTCTACTAATAAAGTACAAAAAATTAGCAGGGCGTGGTGGTAGGGGGCACCTCTAATTCCAGGTACTTGGGAGGCTGAGGCAGGCGAATCACCTGAGCCCTGGAGGTAAAGGTTGTAGTGAGCCGAGATCAAGCCACTGCAGTCCATCCTGGGCAACAGAGCAAGACTCCATCTTAAAAAAAAAAAAAGATTTTAAAATTAAAGGAAAGCAACAGAAACGTCGCTGCCTGGGAGAAGGCTGCGGGGCGCTCCCGTTTGTGTGAGACAGGTTGTGTTCCTTCCTCAGCCCTGGTCTCTCTCGCCGCCTGCAGGGCTGGTGAATTACCAGATCTCCGTCAAGCGCGGCAGCCAGTTCGAGTTGGAAGTGCGTCTTTTGGATGCGGAAAACAAAGTCGTGGCCGACGGGACTGGGACCCAGGGCCAGCTGAAGGTGCCGGGTGCCAACCTCTGGTGGCCGTACCTGATGCACGAATGCCCCGCCTACCTATACTCATTGGAGGTAATGGTGGTTTGGGACCTGCTTCAGGGAGGTCTTCTGCCCCCAGCTGGTGGCCCTGGCTTCGGCGGAAGCCCAGGACAGGTGAATGGGCAGGTGCGGTCCTCTGAGCATTCTGATGTTTCCCACCCTTGGTGGGAGGCCGTGTTTTTGTTTTGTTTTTTTGAGATGGTCTCACTCTGTCACCCAGGCTGGAGTGCAATGGTGTGATCACAGCTCACTGTAGCCTTGAGCTCCCAGGCTGCAGCAATCCTCCAGCCTTGGCCTCCTGAGTAGCTGGGACTACAGACACATGCCACCATGACAGGCTAATTAAAAAAATCTTTTTGTGTCCAGGCGTGGTGGCTCATGCCTGTAATCCCAGCACTTTGGGAGGCTGAGGTGGGTGGATCACCTGAGGTGAAGAGATTGAGACCAGTCTGACCAACACGGAGAAACTCCTCTCTACTAAAAATACGAAAATTGGCCAGGCGTGGTGGCGTATGCCTGTAATCCTAGCTACTCAGGAGGCTGAGGCAGGAGAATCCCTTTAACCGGGGAGGGGCCGAGGTTGTGGTGAGCCGAGATTGTGCCATTGCATTCCAGCCTGGGCAACAAGAGCGAGACTCTGTCTCAAAAAACAGACAAACAACAACAGCAACAACAAAACGGTGGGCATGGTGGCTCACACCTGTAGTCCCAGCACTTTGGGAGAACCAGGTTGGCAGATCACTTTAGGCCAGGAGTTCGAGACCAGCCTGGCCAATGTGGTGAAACCTGGTCTCTACTACAAATATGAAAATTTGCTGGGCTTGGTGGTACACGCCTGTAATCCCAGCTACTTGGGAGGCTGAGGCAGGAGAATTGCGTGAACCCGGGAGGCAGAGGCTGCAGTGAGTTGAGATCGCACCAGTGCACTCCAGCCTGGGCGACTGAGACTGTCTCAAAAACACTTTTTTTTTTTTTTTTGAGACAGAGTTTCGCTCTTGTTACCCAGGCTGGAGTGCAATGGTGCGATCTCGGCTCATCGCAACCTCCACCTCCTGGGTTCAGGCAATTCTCCTGCCTCAGCCTCCCGAGTAGCTGGGATTACAGGCACGTGCCACCATGCCCAGCTAATTTTTTGTATTTTTAGTAGAGACGGGGTTTCACCATGTTGACCGGGATGGTCTCGATCTCTTGACCTCGTGATCCACCCGCCTCGGCCTCCCAAAGTGCTGGGATTACAGGCTTGAGCCACCGCGCCCGGCCTAAAAACACACTTTTTTTTGGCTAGAGTTGGAATCTCACTGACACACAGGGCCTGGGGATTCCAGGCATGAGCCACCTCGTCTGCTCAAGGGGAAGGCCTGGTTTTGGAGGGCAGGTCCCAGGATCAGCCAGGGAAGGGCAGAGCCTCTGATTGCTGTGTCTCTGCTTGCAGGCCCAGAGGTGGCTGCTGGGGTGCGTGGGGCCTTCCTGCCGGAGGGCGGGCCGGATGGGGCTCAGGTGCTCACCCCTGGTGCTTTGGCTGTCGTAGGTGCGTCTGACGGCACAGACGTCAGTTGGTCCTGTGTCTGACTTCTACACGCTCCCTGTGGGGATCCGAACCGTGGCTGTCACAGAGAGCCAGTTCCTCATCAATGGAAAACCTTTCTATTTCCACGGCGTCAACAAGCACGAGGATGCGGACGTGCGTTGGGGCTCCTGGGTCCTCATGGGCTGCTTCCGGTCACCTTCCACGTTCGCCTTCTCTGCGCAGCTGAGTGCAGTTGAGCTCAGGGCAGTGAGGCAAATGGCTCCAAACCGCCCGCGGTGGGGCCGGCGCTGGGGCTAGAGAGGGGCTCCTGGGGTGGCTCCAGGGTTTTGACGCTCGGAGGAAGTGCAGCTTCGACAGGGACGGGGTCACTGGGCTCTGCTGTCCCCTAGATCCGAGGGAAGGGCTTCGACTGGACGCTGCTGGTGAAGGACTTCAATCTGCTGCTCTGGCTTGGGGCCAACGCCTTCCGCACCAGCCACTACCCCTACGCGGAGGAGGTGCTGCAGATGTGTGACCGCTACGGGATTGTGGTCATCGATGAGTGCCCTGCCGTGGGCCTGGTGCTACCGTGAGTCCCCACCGCACACCTGCTCCGCCTGCCCAGCCCGTGGGCCTCACCGTGACCGCTGCCCCTTCCCTCCTGGCCCGCAGGCAGCACTTCAGCAACATGTCTATGAATCACCACATGCGGGTGATGGAGGAGCTGGTGCGCAGGGACAAGAACCACCCCGCTGTGGTGATGTGGTCAGTGGCCAACGAGCCTGCGTCCTCCCTGGAGTCTGCTGGCTACTACTTCAAGTGAGTGCCCCCTGCCTGCCCTGGGCTGATCCAGAACGAGATCCTGGCGGGTGGCAGGCTGGGGTGGGCACGTGCTGTCTTTGATCAGCCTCGTGTCCCAGCCCAATGGGAGAGCCCTCTGTACCCGGACAGTTACACAGCTACCCTCCCAAACTGTGGTTTTCCTTTTCTTGTTTATTTTTTTGAGATGGAGTCTCGCCACCCAGGCTGGAGTGCAGTGGCACGATCTGGGCTCACTGCAGTCTCCACTTTCCAGGCTCAGGTGAGCCTCCTGCCTCAGCCTTCCAAGTAACTGGGATTATAGATGTGTGCCACCACGCCTAGCTAACTTTTGCTTTTTTTTTTTTTTTTTTTTGAGACAGAGTTTCGCTCGTTACCCAGGCTGGAGTGCAATGGCGCGATCTCGGCTCACCGTGACCTCCGCCTCCTGGGTTCAGGCAATTCTCCTGCCTCAGCCTCCTGAGTAGCTGGGACTATAGGCACGTGCCACCATGCCCAGCTAATTTTTTTGTATTTTTAGTAGAGACGGGGTTTCACCATGTTGATCAGGATGGTCTCGATCTCTTGACCTCGTGATCCACCCGCCTCAGCCTCCCAAAGTGCTGGGATTACAGGCTTGAGCCACCGCGCCCGGCGCTTTTTTTTTTTTGAGATGGAGTCTTGCTCTGTTGCCCAGGCTGGAGTGCACTGGCACAATGTCTGCTCACTGCAATCTCTGCCTCCTGAGTTCAAGCAACTCTCCAGCTTCAGCTTCCTAAGTAGCTGGGATTACAGGCACATGGCACCATGCCCCACTAACTTTTGCTTTCTTTTTGAGATGGAGTCTCACTCTGTTGCCCAGCTGGAGTGCTGTGGTGTGATCTTGGCTCACTGCAACATCAACCTCCTGGGTTCAAGGATCCTCCTGCCTCAGCCTTCCGAGTAGCTGGGACTACAGGTGTGCACCACCGTGCCTGGCTAATTTTTGTTTTTTTTTTTTTTTTTTTTTTTTTTTGAGACGGAGTTTCGTTCTTGTTACCCAGGCTGGAGTGCAATGGCGCGATCTCGGCTCACCGCAACCTCCGCCTCCTGGGTTCAGGCAATTCTCCTGCCTCAGCCTCCTGAGTAGCTGGGATTACAGGCACGTGCCACCATGCCCAGCTAATTTTTTGTTTTTTTGTATTTTTAGTAGAGACGGGGTTTCACCATGTTGACCAGGTTGGTCTTGATCTCTTGACCTCGTGATCCACCCGCCTCGGCCTCCCAAAGTGCTGGGATTACAGGCTTGAGCCACCGCGCCCGGCTAATTTTTGTATTTTTAATAGAGACAGGTTTTCACCATGGTGGCCAGAATGGTCTCGGTCGCTTAACCTCATTATCTGCCCGCCTCAGCCTCCCAAAGTGCTAGGATTACAGGTGTGAGCCCCTGCGCCCGGCCAACTTTTGCATTTTTTAGTAGATACAGGGTTGCACCATGTTGGGTAGGCTGCTCTTGGACTCCTGACCTCAGGTGATCTGCCCGCTTTGGCCTCCCAGAGTGCTGGGATTACAGGTGTGAGCCACCATGCCCAGCTAATGTTTGTATTTTTAGTAGAGACGGGGTTTCACCATGTTGGCCAGGATGGTCTTCAACTCGTGGCCTCAAGTGATCCCCCTGCCTCAGCCTCCTAAAGTGCTGGGATTACAGGTGTGAGCCACCATGCTCGGCCCCTTTTTCTTCCTTACAATCATGTAGTTCTAACTCAGCGTTCAGAGGTGGATTTTTCACTTGCGTTAGAGGCAGCAGAGGTTGTAGAAATGCTCCTGGAGGCAGACGCCACACCCCAATTTCGTGGGAGTGCTTTGGGCTGAGCCAAGTCTGCAGCAGGCTCTGACGAGTCATCCCAGTTTGGGCAAAAGACAGTTCAGAGCTCGGGGGCACGGGGCTGTGCTCGGCAGGACTGGGCAGACAGGAGTTTTGTTGCGAAGGTGGTGAGTACAGACTTCCAGGAGCAGGTGCCTGAGGCTTCCAGACAGGCTGCTTTGGGAGGTGGCCAGAGGAGATGCCTGTTTTCTCGGGCAGACATTGGAGGCGTTGCCCTGGCTGGAGAGGGTCAGCCAGGCTGTCACAAAGCTTTGAAGCTTCCTGTCAGAGAGCCTGGCTGTTGGAGAGTATGGGTTTGGAACTTGAGGCTGGTGATTCTGTTCTGTCCTGTGCCAGCCACAGCTTTCGGATGAGCAGAGGAATGATGGGGGAGGGTGTAAAAGAAAAGAAATGGGCTGTGTACGATGGCTCACGCCTGTAATCCCAGCACTTTGGGAGGCCAAGGCGGGTGGATCACGAGGTCAAGAGATCGAGACCATCCTGGCCAACATAGTGAGACCCTGTTTCTACTAAAAAATATTCAAAAATTAGTTGGGCATGGTGGGGTTGCGGGTGCCTGTAGGCTCAGGTACTTGGGAGGCTGAGGCATGAGAATTGCTTGAACCTGGGAGGTGGAGGTTGCAGTGAGCCGAGATCATACCAGTGCACTCCAGCCTGGCGACAGAGCAAGACTCCATCTCAAAAAAAGAAAAGAGCTGAGGAAAGAGAAGAGGAGAACAGGCTTCAACAACCATCTAGGCTGGTGCAGTGACTCGTGCCAGTAATCCCAGCACTTGCGGGGGGCTGAGGCAGGTCGATCACCTTGAGTTCGAGACGAGCCTCTCCAATAGACAGTGAAACCCCATCTCTACTAAAAATACAGAACTTAGCTGGGTATTGTGGCATGTGCCTGTAATCCCAGCTAATTGCGAGGCCGAGACAGGAGAATCATTTGAACCTGGGAGGCGGAGGTTGCAGTGAGCTGAGATCACACCACTGCATTCCAGCCTGGGTGACAGAGTGAGAGACTGTCTCTCGGAAAAAGAATTAAGTCTAGCGTGGAGGCCTTGAGTGGGCGCGGGAGCTCTGAGCACACACTGGTCCCTCTGTCCGCGGCCTCTTCCCTTCATCCCTCCTGGTGATCTCAATTTGGCATAAGGGCTGTTTTTTTTCTTTTCTTTTTTTTTTTAAATTAAGAGACAGGGTCTCTGGCTATGTTGCCCAGGCTGGAGTGCAGTGGCTATTCACAGGCGCGATCCCACTACTGATCAGCACGGGAGTTTTGATCTGCTCCGTTTCCGACCTGGGCCGGTTCACCCCTCCTTAGGTAGCCTGGTGGTCCCCTGCTCCCAGGAGGTCACCATACTGATGCCAAACTTAGTGCAGACACCCGATCTGCATAGCGCACTACAGCCCAGAACTCCTGGGCTCAAGCGATCCTCCCACCTCAGCCTCCCTAGTAGCTGGGACTACCTGGCAAGGGCCGTTTCTTGAAGAGGCTGTCCCTGACTCTCCAGTCCAAATTCTGTTGATTGTCTTGTAGACCCCAGTTCCTGCCACCACTTGTCATTTCTATTCACAGTATTTCTTCTGTTGTTTTTCAGAGTCAGGGTCTTGCTCCGTTGCCCAGGCTGGAGTGCAGTGGTGCAATCACGGCTCATTGCAGCCTCGGCCTCCTGGGCTTAAGTGATCCTCCTGCCCCTCAACCTCCCAGATAGTTGGAACCACAGGTGTGCACTGCCAGACTAAGATTTAAGGTCCCCCTGTGCCGGCCCCGAGCTGTAGTCTTGCTCTGTTGCCCAGGCTGGAGAGCAGTGGTGCAATCTTGGCTCACTATGACCTCTACCTCCTGGGTTCAGCAATTCTCCTGCCTCAGCCTCCTGAGTAGCTGGGATTACAGCTGTGCGCCACCATGCCCAGCTTGGTTTTTTGTGGGTTTTTTTTGTATTTTTAGTAGAGATGGTTTCATCACGTAGGGCAGGCTGGTCTCGAACTCTTGACCTCATATCCACCCACCTTGGCCTCCCAAAGTGCTGGGATTACAGGTGTGAGCCACCAGGCCTGTCCCTAATTTCTAAATTTGTTGTAGAAACAGGGTCTTGCTGTGTTGCCCAGGCTGATCTCAAACTGCTGGTCTCAAGTAACCCTCCTAAAGTGTTGGGATTCTAGGCGTGAGCCACCTCGCCTGGCACCTGCACCATTTCTCTGTGTACATGTCTGCATTCCCGCTGCCCAGGACCTGTGGGCTTAGATCTGAGTCACTCCTGAGCACCTAGCACCCAGCCCCATGCCTGCCTCCCAGCTCCAACTCCGTTTGCTTGATGCATTAATAAATATCCCATCCGAATCCACAACCCATCCACTCCTATGTTCATGAGCTGTTTCAGGGAGTCAGCCTCATTTTCAGCAGTGTTCAGCCCAGTGACCCCAGCTCTGTGTACCTGCAAGGGGGGCCACTCCTCTGAGGGGATAGGATTTGGGGGCTGGGGGAGAGTGAGTGATGTTAGAGAGCTTGGTCTAGGACTAGAGGAACATGTGCCTGTATTGAAATATATCTCCAGTTAGGGAAGAAAGCAGAGGTTCCATGTTTGGTTTTTTCTTTATTTTTTTTGTTTGTTTTGACACAGAGTCTCGCGTTGTGGCCCAGGCTGGCCTACAGTGGCATGATATTGGCTCATTGCAATTTCACCTCCTGGGTTCAAGCGATTGTCCTGCCTTAGCCTCCCAAGTAGCTGTGATTACAGGTTCGAGCCACCACGCACAGCTAGTTTTTGTATTTTTAGTAGAGACAGGGTTAAACTATGTCAGCCAGACTGGTCTCAAACTCCTGATCTAGTGATCCACCTGCCTTGGCCTCCCAAAGTGCTAGGATTACAGGCGTGAGCCACCACGCCCGGCCAGTTGCATATTTTTTATTCAAAGAACTTAAAGTAAATTGTAATGATGTACAGATGCATGCCATGCCTGGGTAATTTTTGTGTTTTTAGTGGAGACGGGGTTTGGCCAGGCCGGTCTTGAACTCCTGACCTCAAGCGGTCTGCCTGCTTCAGCCTCCCAGAGTGCTAGGATTACAGGTGTGAGCCATCGTGCCTGGCCCTGTGTTACGTTCTGGCGGTGGAAGACGCGACAGAGAGGACAGGAGGGTGTCTGAGCCCGACGTGGACCAACGGAACCTGTGTCTTCTGCCTTTTGTGCACAGGATGGTGATCACTCACACCAAAGCCGTGGATCCCTCCCGGCCTGTGACCTTCGTGACCAACTCCAACTACGCAGCAGACAAGGGGGTGAGCCTGGGTTCCCCCTCCCACTGCTTCCTGCTTTGCTTGGGCTTGTCCTGAAGCCTGTTCATGGGAACAGCTGGAAAGAACTATGCTCTGCCAGTGTGGGTTTTTTTTTTTTTTTTTACTTAAAAAGATAGAGACGCCGGGCGCGGTGGCTCGAGCCTGTAATCCCAGCACTTTGGGAGGCTGAGGCGGGTGGATCACGAGGTCAAGAGATCGAGACCATCCTGGTCAACATGGTGAAACCCCGTCTCTACTAAAGATACAAAAAATTAGCTGGGCATGGTGGCGCGTGCCTGTAATCCCAGCTACTCAGGAGGCTGAGGCAGGAGAATTGCCTGAACCCAGGAGGCGGAGGCTGCGGTGAGCTGAGATCGCGCCATTGCACTCCAGCCTGGGTCACAAGAGCGAAACTCCGTCTCAAAAAAAAAAAAAAGATAGAGACAGGGTCTCGCCATGTTGCCTAGGTGGGTCTTGAACTCCTGGGCTCAAGCAGTCCTCCTGCCTCAGCCTCCCAAAGGGCTGGGGTGATAGGCACGCACCACCATGCCCAGCTGCAGCCAGTCTGTGTTCACAGATGGCCTCTGGGTCAGTGACAGTTCTCCCTGCTTACTCCCCAGGCAGTGTGGGTTTCTGAATCCAAGGAGGCTGGGCACAGGGAGATGGGCTTTGTTTGCTCAATTTGGACTCGGCGTTCTTTGCACTTCGATTTAACAGACTCATAAAATGTCAAAGATTTAACGGAGCTTAGAGTTCATCTGGCCCCAGCCTGGCTGATCAGAACTTCTAGGGGACATTTTTTTGAAAGGCCAGGTCTCTGCATGCCGAGATCCTGATGTAGTCACTCCAGGGCTGGAACCTGAGTTTTTCTGTTTATTTTGTAGAGGTAGGGTCTTGCTCTGTTGCCCTGGCTGGAGTGCACTGGTGTCATCACAGCTGACTGCAGCCTTGAATTCGTAGGCCCAAGCGATCCTCCTGTCTCAGCCTCCCAAGTAGCTTGGACTCCAGGTGTGCATCACCACGCCCGGCTAAATATTTTTGTAGAGATGGGATCTCACTACGTTGCTTAGGCTGGTCTCAAACCCTTGAACTCAAGTGATCCTCCTGCTTTGGCCTCCCAAAGTCCGGGATTATAGGCACGAGCCGCTGTGCCTGGCTGACCTTCATATTTTTTATTCCGTTGAGATGGAGTCTTGCTCTGTTGACCAGGCTGGAGTGTAACGGTACAGTCTCAGCTCACTGCAACGTTCTCCTCTTGGGTTTGAGCGGTTCTCCTGCCTCAGCTTTCTGAGTAGCTGACATTAAGGTGCCTGCCACCACGCCCAGCTAATTTTTGTATTTTTAGTAGAGATTGGGTTTCACCATGTTGGTCAGGATGGTCTTAATCTCCTGACTTCAGGTGATCCAACCACCTCAGCCTCTCAAAGTGCTGGGATTGTAAGTGTGAGCCGCTGCTCCTGGCCAGCATTTTTTTTTTTCTTTTTGAGACAGAGTCTCGTTCTGTCGCCCAGGGTGGAGTGCAGTGGTGCAGTCTCTGCTCACTGCAACCTCCACCTCTTGGGTTCAAGCTGATTCTCCTGCCTCAGCCTCCCAAGTAGCTGGGATTACAGGCACCTGCCACCACACCCAGCTGATTTTTGTGTTTTTAGTGGAGATGGGATTTTTCCATGTTGGCCAGGCTGGTCTCAAACTCCTGACCTCAGGTGATCTACCCGCCTTGGCCTCCCAAAGGCTTGCAAGTGTGAGCCACTGCACCTGGCCAGGATTCTTACTAGAAAGAAGTGTGTTCAGGAGGCATGAGAGACTAGCCAGCTGGACACAGAAGCCGTTGCTGCCCAGCCCTGAGCACCGCTTTGCTGAAGCTCGGGGTGGGTCTACGCGGTCGTCTGCTGTGCTCCCAGCAGGGACTGTTCCGGGCCCTCTGCAGCCCACAGCTGTGACGGCCGGGCGTGGTGGCTCACGCCTGTAATCCCAGCGCTTTGGGAGGCCAAGGCAGGTGGATCACTTGAGGTCAGAAGTTCGAGACTAACCCAGCCAACTGATGAAATCTCATTTCTACCAAAAATACAAAAAATTAGCTGGGTGTGGTGGCACAGGCCTGTAATCGGGAGGCCGAGGCACAAGAAGCACTTGACTGTGGGAGGCAGAGGTTGCAGTGAGCTGAGATCGCACAACTACATTCTAGCTTGGGTGACAGAGCGAGACTCTGTCTTCAAAACCAAACAGATTCTCTCTGAGAATGACTGCACCGGCCCCTCGGGTGGGAGCTTCCGTAGGGCGAGGTGAGGGAAGCGTGGTGACGCGTTAGTTCCAGTGCGGTGGGGCCCTGGGCAGTGGCTGAGGATGTTCTCAGCCCCGAGAGGCAGCTCTTCCCGTTCTAGGATTTTTTTGTAGAATCGGGGACTTGCGATGTTGCCCAGGCTGGTCTCCAACTCCTGGGCTCAGTCGGCCTCCTACCTCCGCTTCCCAGTGTGCTGGGATTATCGGCGTGAGCCGCTGTGCCCTGCTAATTTTCTTACTGCATGGGTTGTAGAGCTGGGGTCTTGCTGTGTTGCCCACACGGGTCTGGAACTCCTGGCCTCAAGCCGTCCTCCTGCTTCAGCCTCCAAGAGTGCTGGGATTACATCCCTGTCTCACCTTGTCTGCCAGAGGAGCCCCTGCAGTGTGTGAGTGCTGTCACGTGGTCTGTGTGTGAACGGCCCTGCCGCTCTGTCCTAGGCTCCGTATGTGGATGTCATCTGTGTGAACAGCTACTACTCTTGGTATCACGACTACGGGCACCTGGAGTTGATTCAGCTGCAGCTGGGCACCCAGTTTGAGAACTGGTATAAGACTTATCACAAGCCCATTATTCAGAGCGAGTATGGAGCGGAAACAATTGTAGGGTTTCACCAGGTAAGGGGCGTTGAACTCCGCTTGTGTGTTCTCTCCGCGCAGAGCTGTGCCCACAGCACCGCCTCCTCGCTTCAGCTCTGCGCTCACCTCCTGCCGCCTCGTCCATGCTCCCTCCCCGCCAGCAGCCAGACCTCTGCCCCACTCGCTTGGTCCTCAGAGACGGCCTCCGAACCGGCCTTGATCCAGACGTCTCTTATCATGCGTGTCCATGTGGTCCAACAAATCCAAATTCGTGTGTGTGTGGTTTTGAGACCGGGTCTCTTCTCTCTCTCACCCAGACTGGAATGTGGTGGTGTGATCACGGTTCACTGCGATCCTCCCACCTCAGCCTCCTGAGTAGCTGGGACCATAGGCACGTGCCAAGATGCCTGGCTAAGTGTTTTACTTTTGTAGAGATGGGGATCTTGCTATGTTGCCCAGGCTGGTCTTGAACTTGTGGGCTCAAGTGATCCTCCTGCCTCAGCCTCCCAAATTGCTGGGATTACAAGTGTGAGCCACTGCGTCCCGCCAGAAGTCAAAATTTTGGGAGTCCTGTCACTGGTTTCCCAGGCCCACAGGACAAAGCGCGCCCTCATCCCTGGTCAGGACACGCGGCGGCCTCTGCTCTGTCCTGGGTTTGCGTCGTCTTCGCCCCGCGCTCCTGGCCACTGACCTGTGTCCACTGCACTCGTTTGCTCCCGTGCTCTTGCCTGAGCCATTTCTTTTTCCTGGAATGCTCATGTTGGCACCGTAATCACCAACTAAAAGATCATTTTTCCTTTATTTTTTTTTAAGAGATAGGGTCTTGCTATGTTGCCCAGGCTGGTCTCAAACTCCAGGACTCCATTGATCTTCCTGCCTTGGCCTGATTCCCTGTGCTAGCCTTTTTTTTTGACAGGGTCTTGCTCTGTTACCCAGGCTGGAGTGCAGTGGTGCCATCGTAGCTCACTGCAGCCTTCAACTCCTGGGCTGAAGCGGTTCCCCTGCCTCAGCCTCCTCAGTAGCTGGGACGACAGGCATGCACCACCACGTGCGGCCTAGTTTTAAAATTTTTTGTAGAGATGGAATCTTGCTCTCAGGCTGGTCTTGAACTCCTGGCTCAGACTCGGGAGCCCTCCCCGTGCTCTGCCCCTGCTGCAGCTCAAACCTTGCTCTCCCTGCATTCTTGGCGGGCACTGTCGCTCTGTTTTTGGCTGTCTCTTTGACTGGACTGTGAGCTCAGGAGAGAGGAGGAGTGCCCTTTGTGGTTGCTTCCCAGGTACTCTGCGGTGTCCGACACAGCATGCGCCAAGTATCCGTTGAGGGCATGAGTGAGATCTTAGAGACACTTGGTCCTCTTTTTTTTGAGACGGAGTCTCGCTCTGTCACAGACTGGAGTGGCGTGATCTCGGCTCGCTGCAACTTCTGCCTCCTGGGCTGAAGCCATTCTCCTGCCTCAGCCTCCCGAGTAGCTCATTACAGGCACCCGCCACCACGCCCAGCTCATTTTTGTAGAGTCGGGGTTTCTTCATGTTGGCCAGCCTGGTCTCAGAGTCCTGACCTCAAGTGATCTGCCCGCTTCGGCCTCCTGCAATTCTGGAGCGACAGGCGGGAGCCGCCATGCCTGGCCTCATTTTTTTTGTCCTCACCAAAAATATGTTGCTTTGTCTTACGGGGTGTTTTTTTTTTTTATGTGGTTTCCTGAACCCCATCCAGCCCCCCTTCCCCATCCCAGCCAACTCACACTCGTTTGTCAGAGCTCCCAGGATTCCCATTGGCACACCCTTCTGTGTTTTTTTTTTTTTTTAAAGATGGGGTTTCCCTGTATTGGCCAGGCTGGTCTCAAACTCCTGACTTCAGGTGATCCGCCCACCTCAGCCTCCCAAAGTGCTGGGATTACAGGCGTGAGGCACCACGCTTGGCTTGGCACACCCTTCTTAATGTGCTTATCCTTTGCACAGGGCACAGCCACCCACAGTGGACTGCACTGTTCTGTTTGCACCCTTCAATTAATCATGCTTACTTCTGCAAACTAGTCAAGTAGGGGAAGTGGCTCATGGATATACACGCTTGCTCATCCTCCTTGAAAAGGTAACCAGCTCTGAATCCTTTTCTTTTTGAGACGGAGTCTCGCTCTGTTGCCAGGCTGGAGTGCAGTGGTGTGATCTTGGCTCAATGCAAACTCTGCCTCAGTGATTCTCCTGCCTCAGCCTCCCAAGTAGCTGGGACTACAGGCGCACGCCATCACACCCAAATAACTTTTTGTATTTTTGGTAGAGAAAGGGTTTCACCATGTTGGCCAGGATGGTCTCAATCTCCTGACTTCATGATCTGCCTCCCAAAGTGCTGGGATTACAGGCGTGAGCCACTGCGCCTGGCCCAGCTCTGAATTTTTAAAGTCTTGAGAGGGTCTAGGTCAGCACTGATCCACTCTGTAGTGCTGGGCGTGGTGGCTCACACCGGGAATGCTAGCACTTGAGAGGCCGATGTCAGAGAATCTATTGAGCCCCAGGAGTTTGACACCAGTCTGTGTAACAGACCCCATCTCTACAAAAAATTTAAAATTAGTTGGGCATGGTTGTTCTTGCATGTAATCCCAGCTACTTGGGAGGCTGAGGTGGGAGGATTCTTTGAACCCAGTAGGTCAAGGCTGCAGTCAGCCGTGTTTGTACCATTGTACTCTCACCTGGGCGGCAGAGACTGCGTTTTTAAAAAAATGCTTGCAATGATGGAAATGTTCTATAGCTGCTCTGTCTGAAATGGTAGCTGTTAGCTACATGTGGCTATTGAGGACCTGATACATGACTAGGATGACTTAATTTAAAAATTTCTCTTTTTGAGACAGTCTCACTCTCGTACCCAGGCTGGAGTGCAGTGGCATAATCACAGCTCACTGACCTTCTGGGCTCAGGCGATCCTCCCTCTTCAGTCCCCCAAGTATCTGGAACCACAGGTGTGCACCATCACACCTGCTAATATTTTGATTTTTTAATAGAGACTGGGTCTCACTGTGTTGCCTAGGCTGGTTTTGAACTCCTGGGCTCAAGCAGTCCTCTGCCTCAACCTCCCAAAGTGCTGGGATTACAGACCTGAGCTACCATGCCCAGCCTTGTTTACTTTAATGTCATTTTACATGCGTACATGTAACCCAAGCTGGAGTGCAGTGCTGCAGACACAGCTCGTTGCAGCTTTGACCTCGAGGCTCAAGCAGTCCTCCCACCTCAGCCTCCCAAGTAGCTGGGACCACAGGTGTGTGCTGCCATGCTTGGCTACTTTTAAAGTTTTTTTGTAGGGATGGGGTCTTGCTGTGTTGCTCAGGCTGGTCTTGAACTCCGGAGCTCAAGCGTTTCTCCCTCCTCAGCCTCCCAGAGTGCTGGGATGACGGCCATCAGCCACCATGCCTGGCCCAAAGACGGATTTTTACCTCTAGTGTGGTTTAGCCTTAAGACTGTACCAGCAGATAGAGATGGAAAAGTAAGATGAAGAGAATAGCACATTAACGTTTATAAATAAAGCAGTTACTAATTAAGGTTTTTTTTTTTTTTTTTTTTTTAAACTTTTTTTATTCTGGGTTACATCATTCCCTGGCTGCCTTTACCCCAGCAGCAGTGAGTCCCGCAGTCACTAGAGCCCCCTGCGAGGACAGATATTTTGGTCACCATCAAGTGGATGTTTATTTTTATCTACCATTTCCAGTGCTGCCAGTTCTGACTCTTGGATTCTCTTTGCCGTGAATCCCAGGACCCACCTCTGATGTTCAGTGAAGAGTACCAGAAAGCGCTGCTGGAGCAGTACCATCTGGGTCTGGATGAAAAACGCGGAAAGTACGTGGTTGGAGAGCTCATCTGGAATTTTGCTGATTTCATGACTAACCAGAGTAAGTGGCAGTTTGGCTCATGGGATAATGTACCTGTCCTCATTTTTCCAGGTTGCCTTGCCAAATTCTGGACAGTCTGGTTGTAAGAGTACTGGAAATGCAGCAGGGGCGCTAGTTTAATCCACATAGGTTCGGGTGAGAGTTTCCTAGGAAAAGTCAGTTGTGCTTAGGCAGCAGGAAAGCAATCAGGCCCTGCTTCCCAAATAGGGTCAAAAAGCAAACAGGAGAGTCTGCTACAGTGAGACAGAAATGGCCAGCTTGCCTTTTTCTTGTTTGTTTCATAGTCAGGGAGGAAGGAAACACTGGGCCTCATGGACTTACTTCTGGGGTACACTCATTATTCCACAGTAGGGTGCGAAGCCTGCAAAGCGTAAGGTATTTCAGTCTGTTTTATGTTCTGTAAAAAGCAGGCTCATTGAATACAGGTGAGTTTCACCATGCCTTCAGTGTCTTCAGGCCAAGCATGGTGGCTCATGCCTGTAATCCCAGCACGTTGGGAGGCTAAGGCGGGAGGATCGCTTGAGGCCAGGAGTTCGAGACCTGCCTGTTTAGCATAGCAAGACCCCATCTCTTAACAACAAAAAAAAGCTAGACATGGTGGCGTCTGCCTATAGTCCCAGCTGCTTGGGAGGCTGAGGTGGACCGATCACCTGAGAGTAGGAGTTGGAGGCTGCAATGCGCTATGATTGCACCACTGCACGTCAGCCTGGGTGACAAAATGACTTGTGGTAAGAAATGAGCTATAGGCCTGCATGGTGGCTTATGCCTGTAATCCCAGCACTTTGGGAGGCCGAGGCGGGTGGATCACCTCAGATTGGGAGTTGGAGACCAGCCTGACCAACATGATGAAACCCCACCTCTACTAAAAATACAAAAATTAGCTGGTGTGCATACCTGTAATGCCAGCCACTTGGGAAGCTGAGGCAGGAGAACTGCTTGAACCTGGGAGACGGAGGTTGCAGTGAGCCGAGATCATGCCACTGTCCTCCTGCCTGGGCAATAGAGTAAGACAGAGTTTTCTCCCTCTTGTCGCCCAGGCTGGAGTGCAATGGTGCAGTCTTGGCTCACTGCAACCTCTGCCTCCCAGGTTCAAGCAGTTCTTCTCCCTCAGCCTCCCAAGTACCTGAGATTACAGGTGCCCACCACGACACCTGGCTAATGTTTTTTTTTTTTTTTTGAGACGGAGTTTCGCTCGTTACCCAGGCTGGAGTGCAATGGCGCGATCTCGGCTCACCGCAACCTCCGCCTCCTGGGCTCAGCCAATTCTCCTGCCTCAGCCTCCTGAGTAGCTGGGATTACAGGCACGTGCCACCATGCCCAGCTAATGTTTTGTATTTTTAGTAGAGACGGGGTTTCACCATGTTGACCAGGATGGTCTTGATCTCTCAACCTCGTGATCCACCCGCCTCGGCCTCCCAAAGTGCTGGGATTACAGGCTTGAGCCACCGCGCCCGGCCTAATGTTGTATTTTTAGTAGAGATGGGATTTCTCCATGTTGGCCAGGCTGGTCTTGAACTCCTGACCTCAGTGATGCACCTTGGCCTCCCAAAGTGCTGGGATTACAGACATGAGCCCACTGTACCCGGCCGCGACTCTGTCTTAAAAAAAGAAAAACGGGCTGCGTTATGTTGGGCAAAGTCCCCTAAGCTTTTCATAAGCCTGTCGAGTGGGGATAGTGCCACCGCCTGGTGGGTTACTGTGGGGCTGCATTTGCTGAAGTACTTGGCAGCGCCTGTGTCCACTCACGGAAGAAACAGTCCGGAACCTTTTGGTGGGAAAGGCCTCCTTTCCATTTAACATTTCCATTTAGTGGGGGTCTCAGCAGGGGTGGCGAGTGTCCTGGGAGCACAGCCCTGACAGGTTGTTGCCAGCTGTGCTCCCCACCAGCCTCAGCTTGGGCCGAATGACCACCAGTGGTGGGCACCCAAGCTGGGCGTTGGCCCCAGAGGATTTTGAACTTCATGAGTAGGTCCCATGTAGGCGCTTGTGGCTGGTCAGGGCCCTGGCTCCCACTAGGAGCTGTCTCTTCAGAGAAAGGCGCAAGCCTTTCAAGGGCAGCTGTCCCAGATACCCCCAGCCCTCTGCCTACCCACTTACCAGGCAGTTGGGTACCGAGCATGCAAACCTTATTTTGCAAGTAAAAGATAAACTTTGGGGATTTGTTTTTGTTTGTTTTTTAGAACAAGTCTCACAGTTTCCCAGGCTAGAGTGCAGTGGTGCCATCTAAGCTCACTGCAACCTTCACCTCCTGGGTTCAAGCGATTCTCGTGCCTCAGCCTCCCAAGTAGCTGAGACTACAGGTGCCCACCAGCACACCTAGCTGACCTTTTGTTTTTGGAGACAGAGTTTCACTCTGTCACCAAGCCCCAGGCTGGAGTACAGTGGCACAATCTTGGCTCACTGCACCCTCCTCCAGGGTTCAAGCAATTCTCCTGTCTCAGCCTCCCGAGTAGCTGGGACTACAGGCATGTGCCACCATGCCCAGCTAATTTTTGTATTTTTAGTAGACATGAGGTTTCACCATGTTGGCCAGGATGGTCTCAATCTCTTGACCTTGTGATACGCCCGTCTCGGCCTCCCAAAGTGCTGGGATTACAGGCTTGAGCCACTGCACCCAGATGACTTTTTGTATTTTTAGTAGAGACGGGGTTTCATCATACTGGCCAGGCTGGTCTCGAATTCCTGACCTCAGGTGATCCGCCTGCCTCAGCCTCCCAGAATGCTGGGATTACAGGCATGAGGCACCACACTTGGCCACTGGGTTTTCTTTTCTTTTTTTTTTTTTTCCATAACAGACTAGAAAACTAGAAAATAACACACCAGGGAACCTGGGTGTGTGTTTGTGCAGAGCAGTGGTATTTAAATATTTCAACCCATAAATTGTCACTTCAGAGCAAGCATCCCGAAAACTGTAAGAGGGCATTTGGCTGAGCGCCGTGGCTTGTGCTTATAATCCCAGCACTTCGGGAAGGCTGAGGAGGGCAGATTGCTTGGGCGCAGTAGCTTGAGACCAGCCTGGGCAACATGACGAGACCTTGACGTAACTTAAAAAGCCAGGCAGCCAGGCATGGTGGTGCATACCTGTAGTCCCAGCCACTTGAGAGGTTGAGGCAGAAGAATCGCCTGAGCCCAGAAGTCGAGGCTGCAGTGAGCTATGATTGTGTCACTGCACTCCAGCCTGGGTGACGGTGAGACCATCTCAAGAAGGAGAAAAATTTTATTTAGTGCCTACTTTGGCTCCCGTGTGGGTCTCACTTGACCCCTCAGAAGTTGTCTGAATCGCTTTGTGTCTGTCTGTTTTGTTTTTTTTTTAGCACCGCAGAGAGTGCTGGGGAATAAAAAGGGGATCTTCACTCGGCAGAGACAACCAAAAGCTGCAGCGTTCCTTCTGCGAGAGAGATACTGGAAGATCGCCAACGAAACCAGGTATCCCCATTCAGCGGCCAGGTCACAGTGTTTGGAAAACAGCCCGTTGATTTGAGCAAGAGCTGCCTCTCGGCTGACACCGCCCGTGTCCTTCCCCCCGAGTCACGGCGACTGCCGCAGCAGAACACGTGTCTCCTGGACTGTTCACGGCTGGCCAGAATGTTTCCGGCCTGGGTTTTGTGGTCCGTCCGTGCTAGCGGGGAACACGAGAGGTGGAAATACGAGATTTTCTAGTATGGAAATAAAGAGTTCACGTGAAAACGGCTCCTGAAAAGAATCTGAAATCATTTCTGTGCGTCGGGCTGTTTTCAGAGCCTTAACTATGTGGACTTTTGAGAAACTCCAACACCCACACCACGTTCAGAGCAGCTGGTTCCAGATGGCATCTGCAGGGACAGCCTCGTGGTGCTAGGGCCGCCGTGTTTGCGGCAAACCCGGCCAGCCTCGGAGTGAGTAGAAGACTTCACTGCTTGGGTGTCTGACTGCGCAGATGGGCTGCGTCCCACATGTACCCACAAGGTCACAGAAGTGCTGTCGTGCTGCGGTACCTCACGGGCTCTGTGCACCGCTTCGCACATAGGTAAGCAGAAGTCTAAACTGGAAGCTCAGAGGTGACCAGTTCTCCCAGGAGTGTTCTGATCTCAGCCGTAGTCAGGTCTTGACAGGAATGGACAGATGAGCATAAAAACACATTGGCCTTATCGTAACAGATGCCACTGAAGGTGGCAAGACCCTTTAAAACAGCTATGCCTACAAATCAGTATTCCATGCCTGTACACCCCGAAATGGCACCACCTGCCCCCTCCCAGAGCACAGTCCTTCCTTAAGGAATCGCTCCTCCCTGTCCTCCCAGGCAAGGTTAGGGCAAGGATGGTACATCAATTCTGATTTAAAGTGCAGTGCTTTGGAAAATATTCCTTTTGGTGTCCAATCAGTGAACCAATACGGTTCTTTTTATTCTTGTTTTTGAGACAGTCTTGCTCTGTCGTACAGGCTGGAGTGCGGTGATACAATCTTGACTCACAGCAACCTCCACCTCTGGGGTTCAAACAATTCTGCCGCCTCAGCCTCCCAAGTAGCTAGAACTACAAGCACCTGCCACCATGCCCTGCTACTTTTTTTTTTTTTGTATTTTTAGTAGAGATGGGGTTTTGCCATGTTGGCCAGGCTGGCCTCGAACTCCTGACCTCAAGTGATCATCCACCTCAGCCTCCCCAAGTGCTGGGATTACGGGCATGAGCCACCGCGCCTGGCCTCCAATAATGGTTCTTGCTTATACAATTTGATTTCCCCGTCTGTGGTTGAACCCCCTCTCTCCACACAGAACCCCCTTTTCAGCTTTCCTTTGCAAGCTCCATGAAACAAAGAATAAAGATAATTTAGCCTGATTTTATTAGGCATTATCAGTCCACTTTTTAAAAATGAGACTGTAGTCAGTTCCAATTAGGAATCTAGGGGTTCCTTTTTTTTTGTTTTCACCGAACTTCAGTTTTTCAAAGGAATCAAATTTTCTGTTCCAGTATGTCAAAGTATAATGGATAAAAGCTGGCAAACATTAAGAAAAATTAAACGTAATAAATGTTTTACAAATTAGGGCAGCCTATTTCACCGGTCTTAAGCTTGAGCACAGAACACACCTGTTGTATTTCCATGAAGTATGGCTCAGCTGAATTTCCAACGGATGTATCTTTCTTGCGGATGCCACCTTTTTAGAGGGTTATACATGGAGTATTCAAGGAAAGCTAAAGTTAAACTGGAAAAACGGTTCATTGAAACATTCTAAGTGTTCACAGAACTGTAGGTAGTGACACTTTCGTCATTAATTCTTGACAATCACAGAGATCATAAACCCACAGGAATTCCACGAACTAGCGGTCTGACTCTGAATCTTCTGCAAGTTACATATCACTTAAAAGAAAAAGAACCCTGTATACCTTAGAAATGAGGTTACAGCATGGACTTCAAGAATATAAGGCTCCAACTGAGTCTAAAAAGACTCAGCTTCTTTTCTGGAATGCAACCCTGCAGTTTAAGAAGAATGGCAGTACAACTTCCACAGGTAACTTCTACGTTTATTTTATACCAAAAAACTTATGTGCAACAAATAAACATTCTTACATATTTACATTCGGTTTTATTTACCAGTTAGCAAAACGGTGCCTTAAATCTCTGATAAAGAATACTTCTATCTAGATTATTAACGGGGAAGTCTGCCCAGTGAACTCCATTTTAAATGAATGTTTCCTCTGGAGCTTAAAGCACTAGTAATGAGTATTTTTGATGGAACATATTAGACAGATCATACACCTAATACTCAGGCCATGCTTAATAGAGTTTCTTAACAAAACATTTCACCTTTTCTGGACAAATTTGTAGTAAAAAGATGTTTAAGTAGCTGGGGCTGCCACACTTGCCCCTTTTGTTTGATGGCAGAAGGGTCGTTGTCACGATTAGAAATCGTGATGCTGCCTCAGGTGTCTGAGGTGTTTCCCCAACGCTTGTGTGTTGGAGGAAGGGAGACCGGAATTGCATACGAGGTCACGAGGTCTGTCTCCCAGACAGGCTTCCAGAAATCACAGTGGGTCTCCTTGTTGGCATCTGTCTAATACTGATTTTCAAGACAAGCTCTCCTGTCACTCTTGGTAGCAATCTAAATTATGAAGTAATTGCTGAAGATAACTACTTTTGCAAACAGTCTTTTTAAAAACTAAATGAAAAACAAAAGTCAACAGTTTTTGTTTTTTTTTTTTTGAGACGTTTTGCTTGTTGCCCAGGCTGGAGCGCAGTGGTGCAATCTCTGCTCACTGCAACCTCCGCTTTACACTGCTGGCCAGCTGCAGCATTTAAATATTCAGTCTAAAACAGGCACGACAATCTTATAAGCTTGTAAGGTCGGTCACTCCCGCCTTCCGGGCAGAACAGAAAGTACAGAAAGGAACCCAAACTCTCTCCAGGGCAAAAAACACCCAATTAACACCCACCAGGGTTCTGCTGCTCACTGAGATACGGGCTGTTATTACAGGCAGCACGTGTTCCTCTCTCAGTGAGAAAAAATGGTGTTTATTCGACTGGGCCATAGGAGTGTGGCAGAAACTTTTATACAACTGAAATAGTGGTTTCCCCAGGGCTTAGGAAAGCAAAGAAAAACTGGAAGGGTCTGGCTGACCATTTTTCTGTTTTCTCAGGTAGGTAAGAGTTGAAGACATTTGCAAGAATGCAACGTCAAGACAAGCTTTAACTATACTTTGCTGATTGATACAAACTAGGATGAAGATCCACTGGCTATTGGGACGTGAGGAACTTGCTTAGCGTAACTGGTGTAACATATACCACAGTTTGAACCATGAAGCCACTTCCACTGTAGCTCAGACAGAAGAACCAGGGGACCGCCCTAGGGGAGCTGGATGCGCCCCCAAGATGGCCTCAAACGCGAGGCTTCCTTCTCCACAGACACCAGACAGCCAGTCAGTGCTTTCTAGAGTTCTTTCACTACTTCCGAACACAACAACAGTACATACAGACTCGAACGGCCATTGAAAGATTCACATTCGTGGGAAAACACAAGCCTTGATGAATCTTGAGTTAAGCTATCTTTTAAGGAACTGGTTAAAACTGGTGAAAAATTCATTACAATTCGGACTTGATACTTGCCTTGGACCAAAAGACCTGTGTTGCGGCCATTAAATAGTTAAGTTGGAAACCACTGAATTGTTGCTGACTACACATTTTAGTTCACAGAACAGCGTCTGTTCCCTCCCTTCAAAGAGAAGGCAAATAAAGCACTCCAGAGGTACCAGCCTCATTGACTATTTTTAACATAAAACGATTAATCACACTGGAAGCAAAACATTGCTGCTGCTTCTCAACCAGAGGAGTAAAATGATCACACAGGACCCTTCTGCAGAGTGCGAGTTTTCTACCTGACGGCAAAGGAAGGAAGGACACTTCTGCCCAAGGTCAACACACAAAGTATTTGGTTTGAGATTTAAGACAGAAGGCACTTTTAACATTCTGACATCAGATGTTAACCACAGAAACGTCCTGTCACACTGTCATTTGGGCTTACTCGAATCCCCTTTCCAAACTCTTCTTACTGCATGCGTGTCGTTATGAGAGCAGCGGCGACGTGACTGTATTTCGCCTTGAGATGTGTCTACCTGTTGCTGTTCCCCCGATGACGCAGACTGCGCAGCGTGTCAGCCCTGAAGGTCACAAATCCAGGATTTCACTCCAAAAAAAATTAGACATCCAAGTGGTTAGTGCAGAGAAACAATTAGCAAGAACACTGGCTCCCACTCTGGAGCAACGGGGCTTACGCTGGTCATTTCCGTCACAATACTGTTTGGTTGACTGGCACCAATATTAAGGAAAAATTATCTGTGTGAAAATTCAATTGGTGGAAGAAACTTTACCTAAAAATGCCATGTTTATATTTCCAGCTTTTCTCCAAAGAAAAATACCCGTCTTCCCATCCTAGTGTCCTCCAGGCCTCGGACTTATTCTGTAAGGTTAACAATTGCTCCAGTTTTACAACCAGACACAAATCTGACTTGAACGTTCCACTTCAATTTCTTCCTTTCAGAAAGTGGGAGATGAAAGGGAACCAACCACCCTATTATTTTTTTTTTTTTGCCCTATAATTTTTGTGATCAATGCTGCCCCCACGGCTGCCAGCACTTCACTCCAGATGCTGTGCATGGGCTATTCTCACTACCTCCTCAGTCCACGCTGAGCCGACAGTTCTTCAGTGCTAACTCCAACTAAACTGTACAGTAAGCTCTGCAGGGATGAATCCAATATTTCTACTTTTATTTACAAATATCACATAAATGGATTCTAGTTGAATCTACATGTTTAAATCCATCAGCTAAAAACATATTACATATTGTAAACATGGCAATATTTAATACAGTATCTATTCTAAAATATTTTCATGTCATGATCACATTTGTTATACCTGAAATTGAATTTATACACTTTAAGGAATGACTAGCAATGGTTGCTCACTTTACAACTGAGGGAAGGGGGCTCGGGCTACATTTTATCATTTCAAAAACATCTTCAAAGTCAAGTTAAAGCTTGTCTTTGATTGGCTTGGCGTATCCTTGTTGTATCCGTATTTAAAATGAAGATTGACACAAAAAATAGCGAGGGCCCGTTCTAATTTACAGGATTTTTAAAAACCAGTTTAAGATTCTTAGGGAAAGTGTTGTGAAGAATTAAAAAAAAAAAAAAAAAAAAAAAACTGCTGCAAAATAAACGTAATGGAAAAGGGACTTGGGACTGCAGGGAAGAGTCTGTGGCGCATCAGTCCTGCTTGGGCTGCAGCTGCCGTTTCCAGGCTTCGTTCAAGTAAACCAGTCGTTTGTAGTTGATGATGAGAAGAACGAAGTTCAGCACGTACGTGAAGACACAGATGATGCAGAACTCCTTCAGCACAAAGTACAGAATGTAGGCCAGGTACAGGGACCCCACGACCGACATGATGGAGGACGTCATGAGGATCAAAGCCGCGACGGCACTTGCTGTCATGCCTGCAAGAGAGGAGACGCGGGCTCCATCAGCCCTGGACCCCCAGACGGGGGCTTTCTGAGTGACAAGGCCTGACACTGTGTAATGTGTTGCAGTGTTTGAAGACTGATCTTCCTGCCAAACTCTGAAAACTGAGAACAGAAATACTGGTCTGTTTTGTTAAAATTATACAGGTTGACTCTGCAGATCAAATGCCAGTTTGTCTGTTTTAGAGATGGAGTCTCACTCTGTTGCCCAGGCTGGATAATCTCAGCTCGCTGCAACCTCTACCTCTTGGGTTTAGGCAATTTTCCTGCCTCAGCCTCTTGAATAGCTGGGATCACAGGCATGTACCACTGTGCCTGGCTAACTTCTGTATTTTTAATAGAGACAGGCTTTCTCCCTGTTGGCCAGGCTGGTCTCAAACTCCTGACCTCAGGTGATGCCCCCACCTCAGCCTCCCAAAATACTGGGATTACCGACATGAGCCCACTGTGCTCAGCCAAATGCCAGTTTTATAGCTGCAATGTTTGATTTCTCAATCTTTCAGGTGAAATATTACTTATTTCAGAAACTGCCCTTAGTTGAAAATACGCACACATAGAAAACATGCACTCTCACAATCACATGAAGCAATGAAGCTGACTTGTGACATCAACAGCCCCGAGTCCCTAAATGAACAAAGGGACCTGAGGACCACAGCCTTTTTCTTCTGAGCTGCACATAGGTGGTGAGAACATCTGTGGAAAAGTAAAATTTGCTTTTCCATGTTTAGATCAAATTGATGAAAAATCCACAATGAGAGGTGACTATACCAACAAGCTGCTGAACAGAGAAAAAGAGTATCTTGATAAACATTTCAGGAAGAGGTCACCCTGGTGGATAAGGGAAACCACCTTTAGCCCAATGGCTGCATGTGGGTCAAACCTGATCAGAAAAATAGTGGGTAAGTGTGCTAAGCCAGGGCTCTCAAGAAAAAAAGGCACCTGAGGCCAGGTGCGGTGGCTCACGCCTGTAATCCCAACACTTTGGGAGGCCAAGGCAGGCAGATCACTTCAGGTCAGGAGTTCAAGACCAGCCTCGCCAACATGGTGAAACCCGTCTCTATTAAAAAATAAAAATAAATAAATAAATAAATAGATCACGCCACTGCACTCCAGCCTGAGTGAAAGAGTCAGACTCTGTGTCCAAAACAAACAACAAAAAAAGGCACCTGAATTCTGGACTCTATCTTCACATGTATTGTTTTAAACTCCCTACAGCCAACAGCATGGAGAATATGTGCATTTATTTTCAAGGACAGAGAAGGCAGAGCATGTTAAACTACCCTCCTACCCAGCGACTCATGGGTAAGGATAACAGAAACAGGAAAAAGAATAACAGGTGCAAGTTTAAAGAAGTCAATCAAAGGGCTGAAATCCTGGTGCCTGTTGGCAACAGGAAGACGCCTGTGGACTGGCTGCAGCACAGCCAAGGGACTGGATGCTTTCCTGGCGCATCAAGACTAAGCTGCTGCTGAATTACTTATCGCAGGACTAGCAAATCTGGCCAGCTACCTGCTTTTGTAAATAAAGTTTTACTGGCACCCAGCCACACTCACTCATTTAAGTAATGTCTGTGACTGCTTCCACACTAGAAGGAAGGGCTGAGTGGCTGCGGTAGCTGGCAAAGCCTAAACTACTTTCTGCCAGGCCCTTTATGGAAAAAGTTTGCTGACTTCACTTATGCTAAACAACTAACATTTCAAAAATTAATGCGGTCACAATTTTATCTAAGAAACTGAATTTCAAAATGATATGGGCAAGTTTATTTCTTCCTCCATACCTCTCTTTTCTCAACTGTAAAACTGGGATAACAGTCATGCCTACTTCCCAAGACTGCTGGACAATTAAATAAGCTAGATAATGCAGGATTAAAGGAGCTAATATAAAGCACTTAGAATGCTCTGTAAATACCAGCTATCCATTAAATACTGTTGTCATGCAACTAGGTACTTGTGGCTCGGGGTAAAATTCCCTGTGGAATTCACAATATGCTGTAACTCTAAATAAGTGATGGTACAATTATGCATGGATTATTCTGCAGCTGTAAAAAAGAATGAAGACATTTAATGTACTGATACGGAAAGATTACCACATATCCATCAAGCAAAAAAAAGAAATGCAAGCTGCAGAACAGTGGATATAGCATTTGCCTTTTATATTTTAAAAAGGAGAAAAATTAAGATTGTGTATTTGTATTTTCTTATATATGCATAAATAAATCCTAAACAGTAACAAGCTACCAGTAGGGGCTGAGTAGCAGTGGAAACTGGGTAAAAAGGGAAGTGAGACAGATTTTTCATTGTGTAACATTATATATATATATATATATTTTCAAGATGGAGTCTCCCTCGGTTGACTAAGCTAAAGGGTAATTAATGGCTCGATCTCAGTTCACTGTAACCTCTACCTCCTGGGTTCGAGCAATTCTCCTGCCTCAGCCTCCCGAGTAGCTGGGATTACAGATGTGTGCCACCACACCCGACTAATTTTTTTTATTTTTAGTGGAGATAGAGTTTCACCATGTTGGCCAGGCTAGTCTGGAACTCCTGACCTCAGGTGATCCGCCTGTCTTGGCCTCCCAAAGTGCTAGAATCCACCGCACCTGGACATTCTTTTAAACTTTTGAACCACGTGAATGGATTATCTATGAAAATAATTACATTTAAAATGTTGTATCTCAAACAGCTTAGAAGGGAGTACAGACGCCATGCTCTGGAAACTGTTATGTTAGTTTGAATGTGTCTCCGAAGAAGGAAGGCAGCAACGTTAAAAAGGCCCGTGAAGTGTCTAAATGCAAGTCAAAAAATGCGGATGAAAAAACATCTGATACATGTGATTTAAAATCTGTACACACCATGACATGAAATTAATGGCATAAACAGAAATTTGGCTGTCACGCCTCTGTCTTCAAAAGTTACTGTAGTCGCCGGGCACGGTGGCTCAAGCCTGTAATCCCAGCACTTTGGGAGGCCGAGGCGGGTGGATCACGAGGTCGAGAGATCGAGACCAACCTGGTCAACATGATGAAACCCCGTCTCTACTAAAAATACAAAACATTAGCTGGGCATGGTGGCGCGTGCCTGTCATCCCAGCTACTCAGGAGGCTGAGGCAGGAGAATTGCCTGAACCCAGGAGGCGGAGGTTGCGGTGAGCCGAGATCGCGCCATTGCACTCCAGCCTGGGTAACAAGAGCGAAACACCGTCTCAAAAAAAAAAAAAAAAAAGTTACTGTAGTCAAAGACTTTTCTGAGGTTCTTTTCTCTCAGGAGAGAATGCCTTGCATTTTTGGGCTTATGCTTCATATTCTTCTCTAGAAACCAACACGATGGAGACATACAGAATACAAAGCGACATTTCTCCTCCTCCCCAGCCACCAGACCCTTTTCTATGCATTTAAATGCATGCATACTATTATACCACAATTTGCTTTGTTCACCAAATAGTGTCTTTATCTTTCTAGGATATAAATATAGATCTTCCTTTTCTTTTAATGGCAACATAGTATTTCATAGTATTGTCTAATTTATTCAATCATTACCTATTTCTAAGCTACTTCAACTTTTTTTTTGGCTATTTTAGACTGTACTGCTATAAATATCTTTGTGCACACATCTTTGTACTTCTGCAAGATATGGAACTGGGCAAACTTGATAGAACTACTGAGAAGAATTTGATTTACAATTTGCCTCATAACAAATCAATTTCAGATAGACAAGTTCCATGTATTTTTAATGAACCAAATCAGAAGAGCTGACATAATGAAATAAATAAAATATTAACAATTAAAATACAAAGGCATTCGTATGCAACAAGATTTTTAAAAAGCAGAAAAATAAAACGCAAAGGCAAAAATGAATAGATTTAACTCAAAAAGTATAAAAACTTAATACAAATTCATAACAACAAAAGGGATAAAGAATGCATAACATGTTTCTAATACATATGAAAATGTACTATTATCAGGATCTCAATAAGTAAATGGGCAATACAAGGAAATTAGAGTAAAATTTAAAGTAACAGGTACTACTGTGTAACTATTAGCAATTTTTCCAGGTGAAGATTATCATTACAGTTAAAAAATAAATTTTACAAAATACTTTTTAAAAACGAAGACTGCTGGAGCTTCAGGAAAACCAGAGAAGTGAGGGAAAAGCAATGTGGTAACACTGGTTAAAATTGAAAATATCTGTGTTTTTTGATCCTATGCCTAGAAATTTATTTTGTGGAGACAATTCAAAGCAGAAAGGAGGAGGAGGTCTTTAAACAAGTTGATCACTGCAGCATTATTTAGAAGCAAAAAGTGGGAAACCTAGATGTTAACAATAACATCTTAGGATAAGTAACACTGTTGCTTATCTTAGGATAAGTAACACTATGTTGAAACACAGTTCACATAAAATTATTATTAGTTTTTGACACAGGGTCTTGCTCTGTCCCCCAAGCTGGAGTGCAGTGGTGTGATCTTGTCTCCCTGCAACCTCCACCTTTTGGGGTCAAGCGATTCTCTCACCTCAGCCTCTCAAGTAGCTGGGATTACAGGCATGTAGCCAGCCACCGTGCCTGGCTAATTTTTGCATTTTCTGTAGAGACGGTCTCTCACCATGTTGCCCAGGCTTGTCTCAAACTCCTGGGCTCAAGTGATCTGCCCTTCTCAGCCTCCCAAAGTGCTGGGATTACGGGCGTGAGCCACCGTGCCCGGCCCAAAATTATTTGTAAAAGCAGAAGACAATAGAAATAGTGGATATGTAAAGGTGATGGGATTATGAATATGGTTTCTTGTTAATGTTTCCTTAATATATGATGTTTTTAAAAGGCTACAGAGTCTTTACGGAAAAACTTTACAGGGAAGATGGGAGTGATCATTACTTTGAATGGGACTGGTTTCTGGACATCATGAGATGCTGCTCTCCATGATTAAACAGCAATTGACATCAAGTTCAACATTAATGTAATAAAAATCTTTGTGAATCAAGTTTTCATAACACAAAAATGTTGTACACACTACTATAAATAACACATGCTTTCATTTAACATCAAGACACTTCAGGGTAAAGACACAAAGTTCTAAATGGATGATAAAAAACTTATTTTGGTATTGATACATACTTACCAAGTAATAACTGTAGTATATAAAATATAAGTCCAAAGACACTGTTTGGCTGGTTTAATACACCATCCTTTCCAAAAATGGAACCCAAAAGACCAAATCCTCGACCCCATCTGTAAAATAAGGAAAACCAATAACCCTATATTTGAATTTTCCTATTTAAAAAATGTAAAATTATTTGAGAATGTTATCCAATTCTAAAATCAACTAAGTTGCCAAATGTCTTAAATGTCCTGTGTGGAAAGAGTGATTTACCCCAAAGAGGGAGGCCAGTCACTAGATTCTGATTAAAAATAACGCTCTAAAATGAACATACCTAAAAATGCCAGTATACCCATCTGATTCTCTTAGTTGCCAATTTCTCTATATTCCCTTCTCCAAAGGGTAGGGCAAAGTATTCTTTTTCCAGTGACATTAGTATTTGCAGAAGGAGATCTCTCTATGCTTAGCCAGGGTCTCTTAACAGTGGACCACTGACATTTTGGACTAGATAATTCTTTGTGCTGGGGGTGTCCTGTGCATTACATAACTAACAGTATCCCTGGCCTTCAACCCAGGTGTAACTACCAAAAACAGTCACAGTCATTGCCAAATGTCCTCTGGGACACAATGGCCCCCAGCTAAAGTCATAGATTAAGCTGTGCTATTTATTCACTCAAAGAATGTAGATTAAAAAGTTGTTTCTTCACAAATTTCACCAGGATATTCATTAAGAAATATCCTGGGAATGTATTTTTTAAATGTAGGGCTAGGTGTGGTGGCTCATGCCTGTAAACCCAGCACTTTGGGAGGCCGAGATGGGTGGACCACCTGAGGTCAAGAGTTTGAGACCAGCCCGGCTAACGAGGTGAGACCCCATCTCTACTCAAAATACAAAAAATCAGCTGGGCGTGATGGCGGGCGCCTATAATCCCAGCTACTTGGGAGGCTGAGGCAGGAGAACCACCTGAACCCAGGATGTGGAGGTTGCAGTGAGCCGAGATCGTGCCACTGCACCGCAGCCTTGGCAAGAGCAAAACTCCTTAAAAAAAAAGTAGGATAATATCAGAAACTGTAGGTCTTTCCTGGAATCCTATCTCAGAAGTAAATACCTGGATATATTATATGTCCTAACAGTTTTTATTTGCAATTAACTTTAAATCTTGCATTTTTAAAACAATTTTTTTCTAAATTGTTAATACTGATTTGATAAAACTTGATACAAGTATCAAACTAACATTCACTTAGAATAAAAAACCTTTGAAGATAATGTTTCAACTATGGATAGAACAAGAGTGCTTCCTAAATACTAAAACAAATAACCAGTTGTGGGGTTAAAAGTCAGTAGAGAAACACTCTAAATAAAATCTAAACTTTGGTTCTGAAGACAATCTGCCCCCAAACAAGGATAAATAAGCTATTGGCACAATAGTTTAACAGCACTCAAGGACCAAGATACAGAGTAAAACCCCTTCATAACGATGATGTTGGGAGATAAAAATGACCCCGATTTTACAAGCAAGTAAAAGCCATGAGGATTTTTATTGTACAATTTCTTTTTTTTTTTTTTTGGAGACAGGATCTTCCGCTGTTGCCCAGGCTGGAGTATAGTCGGAATCATGACTCGCTGCAGCCTCGATCTCTTGGGCTCAAGGGATCCTCCTGCCTCAGCCTCTGAGAGTAGCTGAGACTATGACACTCAGCTTTTTTTGCTTGTTTGTTTGTTTTGTATTTTTTGTAGCATTGGGGCTTTGCCAAGTGCCCAGGCTGGTCTCGAACTAATGGTCTCAAGCAATCTTCCCACCTTGGCCTCCCAAAGTGCTGGGATTACAGGCTGAGCTACGACACCCAGCCTTCAGTTACACATTCCAAATAATATAAAATAATTTCCATTATACTCATTTATTCTTTCACTCATCTAAATACTTATTGAGCACATACTATGTGCACTGGGGCTAAGGGTTGGGGATCCAGAAGTGAACGAGCAAGACAAGGTGCTGCCCTTGAGGAGCTTAAATTCTATTTAGGGAAGAGAAGACAAACAGGTAAGCAAATGACCAAGTTACCTGCAGAAATGGACACAGCTTGTAACAGATACAGGAAATTAGAAGGGGTAACTCTAGATTAGTGCTTCTGGAATTTTAAAAGCGCAATCACTTCGGGGGCTGGTGAAAATGTAGCTTTTCTTTAAGTGGTGTGTGGTGGGGGGGCCTAAGATTCTGCAGTTCCAAAGAAAGCATAACACAACACAAAACACATGCAGGCAATACTGATGCTTCTGGTCTGAGGACCACACTTGGAGATCCACTGTGGACAGAGAAGGGGTGCAGGAAGCTCCTCTATCTGGACAGCCAGAAAGGGGCTTTCCCAGGAATTAAATTCTGAAGAAGTTCTGAGTGATGGGAAGCAGCTACCTCATGAGCAATGAATGGCAAGTCAGAGGCCTTGAGGCAGGACTGAGCTGTGCGTGTGCCATGGAGGCTGGGGCGTGGTGACTGGCGAGGGTGACAGGAGAACTAGGCACAAGTCCAATCGTTGACATTATTTACGGCCTTGTGTGTAGCGAAGAGTTTGAATTTCATTCAAATTGCAATGAAAGACGTTTGGTAGTTTTCACGCTGGAGAGTGAGATATACTTATTTACCATCGCTCTTTGTTGCTTATAAGGAACAAACCGCTGGGGGCTGGAGTACAGACAGGGAGAAACTACATGCAATCAGACCTCTTAGCCCTACTCATCCCAAGCAGGAGTTCAAATGTAAATCACTGCCTTTGGCAATAGAAATGAGTGGCATACTGCCAAAATTATCATGGCTAAACAGATGTTTCACATATTCAAAGCATTGGTCTATGCCTGATTATTCATGTAAGATCACATGGGTATTTTCCTTGCAAACAATGTAATCCACAAAGGAAGATATTATCAAAGTTATACATGCATAAGGTTTCAAAATAAGGTAACAGCAAAGCCTTCTAATACAGAGATGTTCCTTCCTCCAGCCCTCCCCAAGCGCCATTCTCATCCCCAGAGGCATCCACTCTGATGACTGTTAACTGTTTTCACTCTTATTTAACTCGACATTTTTTCTTTTTCTTTTTCTTTTTCTTTTTTTTTTTTTTTAATAAATAAGATGGGGTTTCACCATGATGGCCAGGCTGGTCTTGAACTCTTGACCTCAGGTGATCCACCCACCTCAGCCTCCCAAAGTGCTAGGATTACAGGCGTGAGCCACCGTGCCCGGGCTTAACTCCACATTTCTAAAAATATGTTTACATTGCTATTTCCTTTTTTTTTTTTTTTTTCCCTTTTTGAGACATTCCAGCTCTCTTGCCCAGGCTGGAGTGCAGTGGCACAATCTCAGCTCAATGCAACATTTGCTTCCTGGGTACAAGCAATTCTCCTGCCTCAGCCTTCTGAGTAGATAGAATTACAGGCATCACCACCACACCCCGCTCATATTTGTATTTTTTGTAGAGATGGGGTTTCACCATGTTGCCAAGCTGGTTCGAACTCCTGACCTCAGGTAATCAGTCTGCCTCCACGCCTGGCCCTAAATATTATCTCTTAACTTTCTAATATGGTAAGGCAGAATATTGTGGGTTTTTTTTCTGAGACGGTCTCACTCTGTTAATCATGTTGGAGTACAGTGGTGTGGTCTGGGCTCACTGCAACCTATACCTCCCAGTCTCAAGCAATTTTCCCTCCTCAGCCTCTTGAGTAGCTGGGAAACCACAGGCAAACACCACCATGCCTGGCTAATTTTTGTATTTTTGGTAGAGATGGGGTTTCACCATGTTGCCCACGCTGGTCTTGAACTCCTGAGCTCAGGCAACTCACCTGTCTTAGCCTCTCCAAATGCTGGGATTACAGGAATGAGTTACTGTGGCCAGCCAAATACTGCTTTTTTTTTTTTTTTTAAGTTTAGTATATAATAAAAAACTTCAAATGCATATACACAAAGTGAACAGAAGAGTGTAATAAACACCCATTTATTGTTTTGGTATGGTGAAGAGAAACGGTATTACAAAAACAACAAAAACCCCATGTACCCATCGCCCAGCTTCAATCATTATGCCTTTCTTGTTTCATCTCCACCTCTATATACTTATCGCTTGAGAGTTACTTTTAGTTCTTTAATTTTTAATTTTTTTTTTTTTTTGAGATGGAGTTTCGCTCTTATTACCCAGGCTGGAGTGCAATGGCACGATTTCGGCTCACCGCAACCTCTGCCCCCTGGGTTCAGGCAATTCTCCTGCCTCAGCCTCCTGAGTAGCTGGGATTACAGGCACGCGCCACCATGCCCAGCTAATTTTTTTGTATTTTCTTTAGTAGAGACGGGGTTTCACCATGTTGACCAGGATGGTCTCGATCTCTTGACCTCATGATCCACCCGCCTCGGCCTCCCAAAGTGCTGGGATTACAGGCTTGAGCCACTGCGCCTGGCCAATTTTTTTTTTTTTTTTTTTTGAGACGGAGGCTTGCTCTGTTGCCCAGGCCAGAGTGCAGTGGTGCTATCTCAGCTCACTGAAACCTCTTCCTCCCGGGTTCAAGTGATTCTCCTATCTCAGCCTCCCGAACAGCTGGGATCATAGGCGCCCACCACCATGCTGGGCTAATTTTTTGTATTTTTGGTAGAGATGCAGTTTCATCATGTTGCCTAGGCTGGTCTCGAACTCCTGAGCTCAGGAGATTCACCCACCTTGGCTTCCCCCAGTGCTGGGATTATAGGCGTGAGTTACTGTACCTGGCTATATATTGCCTTTTTTAAAAAGTTTATTTTGTAAGAGAAAACTTCAAATGCATATACAGAAAGCGAGCAGAAGAGCATAATAAACACCCATTTACTGTTTTGCTGTGGTAAAGAAAACCCAAATAAAAACAAAACACACACACCAAAGAAACCCCCACATACCCATCACCCAGCTTCAATAATTATGCCTTTCTTGTTGTATCTCCACCTCTACATGCTCATCACTTGAGAATTAATTTTAGTTCTTTTATTTAATTTTATTTTTTGAGATGGAGTCCTGCTCTATTGCACAGGCTGGAGTGCAGAGGCACGATCTCGGCTCCCTGCAACCTCCTCCACCTCCTGAATTCAAGTGATTCTCCTGCCTCAGCCTCCTGAGTAGC